CGAGTATGTGAAACAGGAATTCCGCAATTATTTTACCAACCATGGCTTGCTTCATGAAACCTCCTGCCCTAAGACACCACAACAGAATGGAATTGCCGAGAGGAAAAATCGACATATTTTGGAGACTGCTCGCGCGCTTCTCCTTGGCGCTGGTGTACCTACTCGTTTTTGGACCGATGTCGTCACTACAGCAGTGCACCTTATTAACTGAATGCCTTCTAAGGCTCTTGAGTTTCAGACTCCTCTCCAGGCTCTATCCACTACCATTTCACTACCTACAGCCTTAATGCTTCCGCCTCGAGTGTTTGGTTGCGTTGCTTTTGTTCACTTACATAAAGATCAGCGCACCAAACTTGATCCTTGTGCCATTCGATGTTTGTTTCTGGGATATGGTCCACATCAAAAAGGATACAAGTGCTATGATCCGACTACCCATCGTACCTATGTCACGATGGACGTCACTTTCTTAGAATCAGAGATTTTTTTCTCTTCTGCCACATCCACTTCTCCTCTTCCGGGGGAGCCTAGGAATGAAGAGTTGAATTGGCTGAGGTTTGATTGGCCAGGATTTAATGAGTCTGTTGTTTCTATACATGATACAGAGACTAGTGTTCTACCATCAGGATCTGAGGAGACCAGTGATGAAACTAGTGAGAAGCAGCAGACCTCTGAAGCAGAAGTAGTACCCCCTTTCTGCCCCCACAGTATTCACAGACCCATCTCCTGAGAATACTCCTGAGGTAAGCTCCCTGAACTCTCCAAGTTCACCTCTATTAGCTAACAATACTCATGTGAGCTATGAGTTACCGTACAGGCATAACCGAGGTAAGCCACCAGACAGATACTCTCCAGACATTGAAGGCCAGAGGTCGAAGTACCCAATTGCCAACTATGTATCTACGAAAAGGCTCCCCGAATCTCTCAAGGCTTTCGCAGATAGAATCTCCTCATGTCGAATTCCTACTAGTGTTGAAGAAGCAATGAAAGATCCCAAATGGGTCCAGGCTATGAAGGAGGAGATGGAGGCGCTGTTGAAAAATAAGACATGGATTCTTGCCACTTTACCTCAAGGGCAGAAGACAGTAGGGTGCAAGTGGGTGTTCTCGATTAAATATAAAGTAGATGGAACAATTGAGCGGTACAAGGCGAGACTTGTAGCAAAGGGATTCACGCAGACATACAGAATTGACTATCAGGAGACCTTCTCACCCGTAGCCAAACTTAACACAGTGAGAGTATTGTTGTCACTTGCTGCAAACCTTGATTGGCCTTTACACCAGTTCGATGTGAAGAACGCTTTTCTGCATGGAGACCTAGAATAAGAGATTTATATGGATATTCCTCCGGGATATGTGGCCAACACAAAAGACAATGTTGTTTGTAAATTGCAAAGAACTCTATACGGACTGAAACAGTCGCCTCGAGCTTGGTTTAGGAGATTCAGTACGACAATGAGAAAGTATGGGTTCCAACAAAGTAATTCTGATCACACCCTATTCTTGAAACACAGACAGGGCAAAGTGACTGCTTTGATTGTCTATGTAGACGATATGATCATCACAGGAGACGATTCAGAGGAAATAACAAAACTTCAAGAGCAGTTGGCATCTGAGTTTGAAATGAAGAACCTGGGAGGACTCAAATACTTTCTGGGAATTGAAGTCGCTAGATCGAAACAAGGTATATTCCTATCTCAGAGAAAATATATTTTAGACCTTTTAACAGAGGTTGGATTGCTAGATTGTAAGCCTGCAAATACTCCAATAATTCCAAATCACAAACTTGGGGAATATCCCAACCAAGTACCAACAGACAAAGGGAAGTACCAAAGATTGGTGGGCAAGCTTATTTATTTGTCTCACACGAGGCCTGACATTGCGTATGCAGTAAGTGTTATAAGCCAATTCATGCACTGTCCGAGTGAAGATCATATGAGTGATGTCATGCAGATTTTAAGATATCTAAAGTCCTCCCCTGGAAAAGGGCTCCTGTTCTCAAAGAATGACCACCTAAGAGTAGAAGGATATACGGACGCAGATTGGGCAGGGAACATCATGGATAGGAAATCCACCTCAGGCTATTTCACCTTTGTTGGAGGAAACTTGGTTACTTGGAGAAGCAAAAAACAAAAGGTAGTTGCACTATCTAGTGCCGAAGCTGAGTTTCGTGGAATGGCTAAAGGGCTATGTGAATTACTGTGGCTTAGAAGACTATTAACAGAGATTGGTTTTGCTTCCAACTCTGAGATGAATTTGTTTTGTGACAATAAAGCAGCAATTGATATCTCCCATAACCCCGTACAGCATGATCGGACGAAGCACGTGGAAGTAGATCGACATTTCATCAAACAAAATCTCGATGCAAAGATCATCCGTTTTCCTTTTGTGAAGTCTGAGGACCAACTAGCAGATATTCTTACAAAGGCAGTGTGCAATAAAATATTCTACAACTCACTAGACAAGTTGGGACTCATCGATATATACGTACCAACTTGAGGGGGAGTGTTGGCGTGAGTTGTCCTTGAGCAATGGAAGGGCGGATCACAGGCGGGAATCCTGCACTGCAATCCCTCAATTACAGGGTCAATATCAGATCCTCAATTGTAGCCTTATTGTAGCCTTAATATTTGTAGTCTCTGTATAGCCCAACTCTGCCTATATATACACAAATTCTGTAATAATCAGATGAGAATGAATATAAGATTTTGTTTCATTCCAACAGGCTTGACCAGGTTGTAGATGATTGGATTTTCCCTTATACATGTTGTTGGTGCCAAAAAGAAAATTATGATGCCAAGAAAGTTGTTCAAGGTAGGTGACAATTGACAAGAGATGTTGATGACTCTCCCTCAATATGCAAGGCAGAAAAATTGATTAAAGGGGTGTGATTAGGTTTTTTTTTATGAAAAACATTCACAGAATCAAGCACACAAGCACAGAAGAACTTAAGAATGTTAATACTTTCGCATGTCTTTGTATTTTATCTTTTCTTGAATCTCTTTTAGCGAAAGAAATAGAAGCCGAAGAAGAAAAACTAATACCTATTTCACCCGCTGAGTCTCTTTGTATCCATGGTTGAATGGTTAAAGCACTCAACTGAGCAAAGTCGCGGGTTTGCTTCCTACTGAATGCACTTGGCATATTTAGTTCAATCGCTACTCATGTAATTTATACATATAGGTTGTCCTTATAGTTTATTGGGCACTTTTGTTACTAGAGAAAGAAAAACGATTGATGACTAACTATCTCGCTTTGAGATTTCAACTATAGTCAGATACAAAAAAAAAAAAAACATCAGTCATCTCTCTTCATATATATACTGATTATTGTCTAATAATAGATTTCCTAGTTGCATAGAAGCCAGGTCCTTTAGAGTTGAGTTGTAATATCCTCATAAATAATTGTAAATAAAAAGATTCATTTATTTAATTTATTATTATCATTGAATTTTTTGTATATTCCAAGCAATATTAAAGTCCAAGATCAATTAAATTAACAAGTTAGATCGAAATAACATTTCTCTTTATGGTTCAGACTTGTCTGCATTGGCTTGAGATCAAGAAGATGATGATTTTGATGAGGAAAATTCCCAGACTCTTTGACTTCATACGCCGCAGCATAGTAGGGGCCACCATTTCAAAACTTGGGTCTCGGTTACGTCCAAAGAATAAAGAGGTAGTTGTAGTACAACTTTGGGATGTCGATATTACAGAGAGACAAATTAAAAAAATAGTAAAAGAATCAAAGAAATTAAAGAAAAAATATTTAATTATTACAGGAGAACAAAAATTAATTTTAAATACAAATTAAAATAAAAAAAAGTGACTAACGGAAAAAGTACTCAAATTTGACAAACAGTAAAACGTCAGGAATCCCTTGTACAAATCTGATATTTTAATTATTTTTAATTCATTGAATAACTCAATTGAGAATTTAATTCCCAAAATTCTCAACCGAAAGATATAGATTTATAAATCAAGATTAAACTAAATGTAACCCTTTGAAAAATCATTCACCACTTTAAAAATACGTAAATTATTAACACTATTGAGAAAATTTAACGACGACAATATACTGAAGAAGTAATATTACAACAAAGAATTAAATTAATATAAATAAATAATTGATCCAAAAATAATAAAAAAGCTAACTCATTCAATAGAAAAAACTCGACTAAATTCATAAAAAGAATAAATTCTATGACTATTAAAAGAAAAAAATATCAACAATAAATTGAGAATGATAAAACAACAGAGTTTCACTAATTAGAAATCAAATACATAAATTAAAAATAAATAAAATATTATTTACTATACAAGTTCATCTCTTGTCTTACCTGAGAATTTAATTACTCATAAATATAATGAACAACGCCCCCCCCCCCCCCAAAGGAAAAATATAGGTTAAAAGTCGATCCTTTTTTTGACAAAGTATCTTTTCTCCCCCTCTTTATTCCAATTTTTCTATTTCAACCCCTAAAGCTCAAATCTTGTATAATTTGAGAAAGATAAAGCCCAATAAAAATTATGAGTGTCAGGCACACATGAAAGCTATATCAGTTTCAACCTTTTTGCTCCATGGGCTGCCATCAAAATAAAAATAAATATAAAACCCGAATAATAAAGTCCTAAAAATGTTAAGGTGTAAAATTCAATCGTAAACTATCTCTTACCAACTAATAATATAATATATAAAATTTAAAATATTATAAAATTATGCTCAAATATATCTCTGTGTGAATAGATATTAAATTCAATAATATAAATTATATCTAACTATTTATGTTCACATTTTAACATTTTGATCAAATAATATGGTATTTAGAATGCACTTTCGCACACTCATCAGATCCCAACCACCGTTGCATCAAAATAAAAAATAATAATAATAATTTCAAAGCAAAAGAAAGTTTTGACAAAAAATTATTCTGTTGAAGTCTTATCTCTATACAAAACTGCCAACAATGTTACGCAAATTTAAAAAATTGACTTGATGATTGGTTATTATATTTGTCATTGATTGAATTGTAGATTTCAATATTTATTGGGGTCCACTATTTATTCAATGGTAATGATTCATTGATTAAATTGTAGATTCTAATATTTATTGGGATCCACTATTTATTCAATGATAATAATTCGTCAAATCAATTTTTAAATCAATCTTTTAAATTTATTTAACATTTTTCATGCACCAAATATGAGTTTTTATCAAACCAAACTCTTTTTATTGTTTGTATAATATTAAGCCATATCAATTTTAAATTCATGCGGAGTAAAATCAACAGGCTAATATATCCCTATTTATTCTTTCAAAAGATAGATTCTATTGAAGAGAATATGCCGGTTTGGATACTTTGACCTTCTAGATTCTACTGTAAAGTTTTGTTGAGCGATTGGTATTGAATGGTAGGTGAGTAATTACATTTGTTAATCGAAAAAGAGAAATACTATTGAAATTTAAAAATTTGATCTAATTTGTTGACTTAATTCACTGTGATCTTTGGATTAGTTATAGGCTCTATCAAATATTAAAATTTAGTGTTGATCCAATGATTTCTATTAAGCCACATCATTATATAAACAAATTAAGTCGAATTTTTAGGTCTAAATAACATTACTCATCGAAAAATGGATCAAGTTGGACAAAATAAATTGGGACATAAGGAGGCCGATACCTTTATATAAAAGTCTTTTTTTTAAAACTATTTGGAGAAAAATCCATTTGACAAAAAAAAAGATAAAACACCTTGTAGATGTGGAAGACAAAGAATCCTTCTAATTTTGGAAACAAAAAAGTAGTACCTAATTTTTCAATGTCAATTACTAAGAATCCACTAATGTCGAAAACCAAGAAGCCATTAATGCCGAAAATCTTAATTTTTTTGAATTTAAAAAATTTAGGGATTTCAATCCGTATCTTTCCAACATTCAAATATATGAATTCAATGAACTTTATTTTATATTTATAGTTGTATTAGTTCTAATATCCCGAATTGAATCACCTTTTACTATCACTCTTTGTTTGAAATGTGTTATACAAGATGTTACTATATGTTGTCATACTAGAATATTACTTTGTTGTCACTCTTTTTGAGAACTGTGTTGTACAAAATGTCACTATATGCAGATATATTTTTTACTGTCACTTTTTGGTATCTCTCTTTGATGACATGTGACGCTTATTTTGAGCTATGTTGATTATGGTGTAAAAATAAGGGGGGGGGGGGGGGGGGGGAGAGAGAGAGAGCGAGAGAAAGATAATAATTGAATATTAATTTCATGTAAATTTTTAAATTTTAAACGATAGATAAAGTCTAAGAAATATTGAAAGATTCAAATTTAATATTTAGATATTTAAAAACATATAAATTAGGCAAAGAGAGAGAAAGAAACGGCAGAGAGAGTGTGAGAGAAAATAGGAGTAGAGAGAGTGAGAGATGATAATGAACCAATTAGGTACGCAATATTAATGGAAAATAACCAAAAAATATTGAAATTGTCAAATGTAATATTTAGATAGTTGAAAACATTGAAACGAAAAATTTTGAAATGTATATTTAATGACAATTATTTAATAAAAATAAGACTTAATAGTATAAGTCTGATTGTGGTACTTAAACCCAAATAAAGACTAAAAAAATTCCCACAACCAAATATCCGAAATAAGGTCCATAATGTCACGGTGATAGCTAGCTAAATCCAACCCACCCTTTTACTTTGGGCTTTAAAGGACCTATCAGAATAAATCAAAAGCCCAAATCATTAGGCCATTTTGGACCGTCCGTCATTTTGTTGTTTTGCAGCCTAACCCTTTTCCCCCAAATATCCTCTCTTCTCCTCCCCCTCCCCCTCCTTATCCTCACACTTTCCTCTCTAAGCCCCTCCTCCTACTCCTCCTCCGCCTTTCCCCCCCTGCAACCCCCCCCCCCCCCCGCCCCGCCCCCTCTCTCTTTCTCTCTCTGTGTCTGTAACTAAATATATAGCAATGTCTTGCGCTACAAAACCTGTATTCAAGCCACTACCAGTGGCAAATAGTTGTTCACTCTCACTCCCACCAGTATACACAACAAGAACCTCAATACCCTCCAAACCTATCAAACTCCACCTTTCTTGCTCTTACGCTTCATCATCACTTTCTTCTTTTTTCTCTCTCAAAAGGAAAACCCATTTTCCGACTATAATCACGTTTGTTGCAGCGCAACAAGAAGACGACAACACACTAGTCCTCGAGCAAGAACAAAAAGAAGAAGCTGAAGGAGGGTTTAGATGGGGAAATCAGGAAGTTGATGGCACCGAAGCCCGTTTATCAGATTTAGAAGGCGAAAACGAAGACGGTGTGGAGGCTGTTGGAGAAGCTGGAGAGAGTGGTGGTGAAGATGGGTTTGTGGAGGCTGAGGCGGAGGAGGAGTTTACGGAACCACCCGAGGATGCAAAGGTTTTCGTTGGGAATTTGCCGTATGATGTGGACAGTGAGAAGTTAGCTCAGCTTTTTGAGCCGTCGGGTATTGTTGAAATTGCTGAGGTAATGATCTTTTTATTGATAAATGTTTACATTTTGATATGTGGGTATGTGCTGATTGAAACTTTGTGCTTTTGTTTTTGTGATTAAAGGGGGTGGGTTTTGATATTTTTGTTTGTGGTGCTTTGGGGTACTGTTTTGTAGGTAATTTACAATAGGGACACTGATCAGAGTCGAGGGTTCGGCTTTGTTACGATGAGTACTGTTGAAGAAGCTGAAAAGGCTGTGGAAATGTTTCATCGTTATGTAAGTGTTTTTGCTTCCACTTAGCTTCTAGTGTGTGTTTACAATAGAGATGATGTTTTGGTGACTCTTATTGGACTATCTTGTATAAATTTTAGGGATAGTGGAAATTGACAACCAAAAGGAATGTACCAAATTCAAATCCTTTTGGCTAGATCTTGTAGTCACTTGCAAAATAAACCTTGACCTTGCACTACTTCCTGTTTACAATAATATCTGAAAATATGAGAAAAAGATGTGGCGCTTTTAAGCCAACTAGGGAATTAGAGAGACTCCTAGGTATTCAACAGTTATCCCAAAGATCTCCGAGTATCTCAGAAGTGTACAACGCCGTGACAATAATGAAGAGCTGATTGCAGACGATTAAGGGGCACGTTTTACAGCCGTTACAGAGAGAAGTTCCTAGTGGCAGGTGAAGTGGCCAAGAAAAATGACCTCGATGGTTATTTATACCACCTATAAACACAAGAGGGTTGAACCAGAGAAAAGTATCCCATCATCAACAACATTACCAACTAGTTCACCAAGCTAGCTTCTATGCTATCTACATTTTCTTCTGATTTGTTTTGCTTCTTCAGCATTGCCTAGTTGGTTGTCCATAAAATTGCACCGTGTTTGATTCCTTTGATAGTCAAAAAAGCTTTCACTATTTTTACCATCGCTTCTTTTAATTCTTGTCCTTATTACAACCACTTTCTTTAAGTAAAGTCCTTGATCCCAATGGTATAGAAAAAATTCAAAGGTAGCCTTACTGGTCGCTTCAATTGTCTGTGTAGTCACGATAAGGACCTCACGCCGATCCAAATAGGTAAGGTCATAGTGTTTGGAACTCAGAAGTCTAATCAAACATTGGCACGGCCGCAATTATAAAAATACGCCAAATACTTCCCTCTATTTGACAGTCCTAACAGTTCAAAATTTTCATAACCCAGCTGTCTTAAATAGTTCATTCGTCTTAGTGGTATATGTGTAGAGTTGTGACATCTGTCATATACTCTTGCCTTTTGGCAAACTGTTGCACCTTGAGTTACTAGTAAGACTTCGGTCATCACAGTTTACATTTAGTGTGATCAGAAACTAAGATCCATTTGTTAAATCTACCGGTGTGCTTAGCTGTATATGTTTTTGTTAGCCTCCCATAACGCATCATTTTCTTCTTCTAGTGCTAGTGTGGTTTGAATATGGCAAATGATTCATAGTTTTATGTCTTCTTACCAAGATTACGAAGGGCTGGACTAAGAATTAAAATATTGGGCTGATGTTTTCTCATGTATTGGGTAACAATGAAGCAAAAAAAATAAAAAGGCAAAGATCAAGAGAAGAAACAAAAATTTGTCTACTTGTATGGACATGTATATATAATTATGATGTTTCCACTGTAGTCTTGAAATTTTTTTTGACTGAGATAAGATAAATGTTATTGCAACCATAGTTCAACACATTTTTTGTTTTGCCTTGCGGCTTAGGAAAAAAATTGTTTTCCTTTGCAAAACCTAGAAAAGTCACTCTTTAGGAAATGATATATGGTCATTTTTGGTCATATAAATGCCTCGATCGTATCTCTCGTACTCCATTTTCTCCCTTAATCTCAATTTATATTTAGCAATATATAAATGACTAATATTTTTAGGGCTTTGTTTGGTTATTGGTTTAGTGGAGTAAATGAAAGGAAAATGAAAGAAAATATTCTCTACTTTTTTGGTTACCAAGGCAAATAACAAAGAAATGGAGTATGTTACAGCAAGGAAATTTTTATTTTTACGTCATTTTATTTAATTTTTTTTCATGATTCCCCACCATTTTGAGAAACTTTCTCATTTGTATTTATATGACTGGGAAAGAGAATGTGAGCATATTTGCTTTTCTTTCACCTTTTCCATTTCCTTTCCCTCTCTAAATCAGTGACCCAAATGGAGGCTAGAAAATTCGGGAAGAACCTGTTTGGTTTGATTTGTGAATGGTGCCCCTACGGCCAGATAATATGTGCTTGCAACTGTGTGAAAATGTCACCTTGCCAGTAACTGTATGGATGTATTTTTCATGAGCCTGCCAAAATTTTGCATACAAATTTCTTGTGGATGAAAGCTGTTGGATTTCAACTTCTGGCAAGGCCCGTCGGAAACTCTGTTGACCAAAGAAATTTGCAAAAGACAGGGAGAGATATCTTTCAGCTTTGGGTAAGGCCCATGAGAAACTCTTCAGCCCAAGAAACCAGAGAGAATTAAGGGAAGTACATTGGTTTATGTCCAGGAGAAATATGAAAGTAAACAGCAAATGCATTGGGAGATCCAAATGTCTTTTTTCCTATCATATATGATACTAAAAGTTGGAATATAGATATGCATGACACTAACGGCCCCATACTGACTATTATGCTGTGAATTTTTTTGGGTATAAAAGCAGATAGGGTGACAGCCATTTATATGATTTTGGGTTATACTGCATATTTTTAATCAACTAGGGAGTACTGCTTGGATGCTTAATCATCCATCAGTTTCCTTTTGGGTTTGAACCAAAGGTTTAAGTTTCAGAGTGGGCTTAGTTGTTTCTAGGTCAGAACACTGATGGTGTTGACCAGGTTCATTTGAATGGGCATGAAAAATGTCTGAAGTATTTGATCCTTGGAACTTTTTTACTGAGACAATGTGCTCATATGACTTGTCTGACTTATGAGTTTACCATTCCTCTCTGATTTCTTTGGATTTTAACCCTTATATGCTCTAATCTATTGTTTTGAGCTAGAGCCTTCTTGCATGAAGCTGTTTGTGAGAGTATTTTTTTTTATAAGAATGTGAGAGTTTATTTTGTGATTTGAGCAGGACATAGATGGAAGGCTTTTAACCGTAAACAAGGCTGCTCCAAGAGGATCACGTCCCGAACGCCCCCCTCGAGCATTCGAATCTGCTTACAGAATTTACGTTGGGAACCTGCCATGGGATGTGGATAATGGACGCCTTGAACAGGTTTTCAGTGAACATGGCAAGGTGGTCAATGCTCGTGTAGTTTATGACAGGGAGACTGGCCGATCAAGAGGTTTTGGCTTTGTAACAATGTCAAATGAAGCTGAAGTGAATGATGCCATTGCAAACCTTGATGGGCAGGTAATGCTTCTTTAATGGAAAATCTATACTTTTTGTCGCGGTTAGAATTTGTGTAAAGCCTACCAGGACCAGCATGAATATGTCACGTTAAAAAAAAAATTCTAGCTATCATGATCACATTAGATCCATCCTCTTCATCTGTTAGTACTTTATTTTGTTTAACCAATATGTGTAATGAACATTTTCAACAAAAAAACTGGAGGGCTAAGAATATGTTGCTGACACTGAATTGATGAAATGTTTATACCTGTCTTCCTTGGGCATGTTGCAGAGTTTGGGTGGCAGGGCCATCAGAGTAAATGTTGCCGAGGAAAGATCAAGGCGTAGCTCATTTTGATTTGAATGAGATCGACAAGTACCCTGATCCAAGGAAAGAGATCATACAAGTATGCTGCCGGTAGTTATTTTCTTTTGTGGTGAGATGGTGGCGGTGGCGGCATGTTTGTCTGCTATCAATATAAGTTTTTTTTTTTTTTTTTTTTGAGGGGGGGGAAGGTGGTGTGACTTACATTTTACACTATCCCTATGAAATTGTTGCTTAAGTTGCTGATATATGTATAAGATTTTGAATTTTTGCTCCAGAACTTGAGGAAACAATTATTCTGTTTCTTTTGTAATTGTTTTTAAGTTTTCGATTTGAAAGTGAATGCATTGGTCCACTTATAAATGATTGGAAGCATTGAGTATGAATTTCACTCTGCAGAACTTCTGGCGTTGGTATATATTATTTCTTTTGAGGATTGCATATTGTGGAAGAAATATCCTTCTATAGACCATTGTTAGCTTTGTGCATGGGAGAGTTTATAAGCCACAACCCAATTAAGTTTGCTCTTGGAACAAGAATCAGAACTTTGATTCCATACGTAGGTCTAGTCAGGTCGGAAAATAAGTTTTTACAAGATTTCAAAAAATCAACTAAAACATCCGGAACACCTTGTAATATTCCGAAACACTTTAAAGACAAGAATTTTCATACTGCATTGTTTTGATTTCCATGAAAACCACAATGTTTAGGTCATTTCAGTGGGATCCTAATTTTCCTCCTTGTCTTGGAGTTCCCATGAGGAAAGTTAACCCTATGGGAATTTGGATTGTGATCTATGAATACATTTTCCTTTTGAGAGGAGAGCAAAGAATTGAATAATTCAATCCTTTATTAGGAAGGGTTTGTTCATAGGCATAAAGGTCAAACGTAGTACTAAGAGACAGCGAACCTACTCCTGAGAGTCAAGCGTGCCCTGCAGTGGACAAACGTAGCAGAATCATTCGACAGAATATAGGAAAAAGTGCTGCCGAAGAAAACCAAATTCGCTGGGTTCTGGATTCCATGGAATATGGAATGAGTTTGAATTGACCCAGTTAGGTATAAGGTTCCTTTTGCTACCATCCTCTTTACACATTTCAGTTATAAAGAGAGAACAACATAGAAACGCGAAACAACTGGTAATTATGGGAGGAAAAAGAAGTGAAATAAAAACAGGATTTTCTCACTTTATACAGCAGCATAGGTGTGTAGCATTAACTTTACAAAAGCAAAAACTTAAACATTACTAACAAGAAAAAGAGCTAATTTAGCTAGAGTGCCAAAACTACATATTTACGCGGTAAGATGGTGATTGAATGAACATTGCAATCTTAGTAGTCCCGCAACTGAGATTCTCGACTGGTCAGTGGAACATACCGGACAGAAGTCTCATCATGAACACTGATTGAACCATCCAGATTCTTGTCCACAACCTTCAAGTCCTGGAATATGTTCCCCACTGGAATCACCATCCGGCCTCCAGGCTTCAACTGATCTAAAAGTGTTTGTGGGATTTCTGGTGCTGCCGCTCCAACATGAATGGCATCATAAGGTGCAAATTCCGGCCACCCAAGCCTACCATCTGATACCGGGTGAATAATCAAAGCATAAATTAGTCAGTCAGCAACATTTGAATAGCATGATCATTGTAACAAATTTTTGCCTGGGGTCCACCACGAGACTCCATGCCAGTAAATACTTGTACTCTTTGACAAGTTTGAAAGTGATTCATTTTTTTTTCTATTTACTTTCCCTTTTCATCTTGAAATTGAAATTGAAGATCAACACGCTACAAAATTAACAAAAGCCTATAATGAATAAGTCAAAGATGCTCACTGTTCAGTCCATAGAATTGTATTTGGATTCTCCAGAGACTTGAGCTCATAGAGATCAAGTATTTTCTGACATTGGAGATTTCCTCAAAGAACATATCTTTTTTTTCCTGTGGCTCAAGAAATTCCTTGAGCCACATGGAAAAGTCACTTGGCAGTTGGCAGAGCTACTGCTTAGTAGATGAAAAATAAAATTAGAAAAAAAACTATTGCTTAGAAGATTATCTTAGAAACCATCCAGTAGTCAAACCATGTAAAAAGTGATCCTCAAAACATTAACCATGAAAAGAAAGGCTATGGCTCAGTTCGAGACATACCACCAACATGCACTGATAGGGCACCTTCTTTTAGCAAAGAAGCTGCTGCACTTTTTTGGATATTCTTGATTGAAGTACCAACCAATTCAGGAATATGTTCCACACCCACCGCACGGCCTTGTGGTCCAACCATATATGCAAAGCATGCTGTCAAATACCCCGATCCTACAGAAAAGAATTGCCAAAACATGATAGAAACTATTCAATCTGCAATGAGGGGAAGGAAGAGCAAGAGTCCAGTCATTGAAAACGAGATATTCAAACTTCAAACAAGTAGTCCACTAGGGTATCAAAATAGAGCTTCCTGGAAAGAATTTTTCTTCAATTATGCTTCCTATTTTTTATTTAGTTTAAGTAGTCAAAAACAAGTATGAAGAAATTCAGTCACGTAAGTTCTCATAAGACATTAGACCAGAAGTTTAGCATCATTGAGTTTGGAAGTATTACCGAACACATAGGTTCATGGTCAATGGAGCAATATAAATACCTGATCCAACATCTAAAGCATGCATGCCAGGCTGCAAGTTTTTCTCCAACAACTCAAGGCACATGGCGTGCATATGAGGCGCAGAGATTGTCGCATTATATCCTATCTGCATTGGGCTGTCAACATAAGGTGGAGTTCCCTCAGGTACAAACAAAGCCCTATCAATAGTCTCCATCACTTCTGCTACCTTCTTTGACCTAATCACCCCATAACTCTTCAGATGCTCAACCATAGCTTCGTTGTTATTGATGCCGATGCCAGTCCAGAATCGCTGTGGGCATAAATTAAACAGCATTGAACTAAGAAATATCACATAAGTCCATCTCATGACCTGTCACAATATAACAAGAATCTAGACAGTAAATTGGAATCAATTTGTTGGGAGGAAAATGAGCCTGAAAGGAAGTCCTTAATTCCTGAGTAATGACACAACTATCAAAATTAGAATGATTTATCAGCATTGTCAATAAGCAATTCTTCGCGAACTCAAGACCACCTCTATTAGAGAGCAAAGACTTCAGTTTTGATCACCCCCAAGCATTTAATGATATCCTTATAAACATCCACAACCGCAGCATCTCTGATGACGATATCGTCATCGACAAGTGCATATTTACTAAACTTCTTTTCCAGGTATACCTTGTTAGTACAATACTACACCACAAAGTGATGTGATATGAAACAAATGGGTTCCGATCAATGACCACGTGTTACATATATAAAGGCTGTTTAAAAAAGATCCATGGGAAGGCATCTAGGAAGTACGGATACAGACACGGATATCGTATCCGATACGATACTAACATGGGAATACAACAAAGTTCCAAAATATAGGACACGGGTACAACAATGATACAACTAACTAAAATAATATTATATATTTTTTATATAAAAAATATTAATAATAAAACCTAGAAATCATTGAGTAGTTGGTTAATATTTTACATTTGGGCAATGGATTAAATTAAATTGGGCAATAGCCTAATATGGTGGGCAGTGAGCTAACACCAAAGTGGGGTGTTGGTTGATTTATTTAGAAACTAATAAATAAATGAGTAAATTATGCTTTACCAAAGGGGGTAAAGTGTAATTTATCCTAAATAAATTATACCAAAAAAAAAAAAGAAAAGTATTAAAAAAAAAAGTCTCTGTTATATTAACTGTCCAATCGAAATTGAGAGAGAGAAAGAGAGAGAGAAAAGAAAAGAAAAAGAAGACCAACTAAGGTAGCCGCAATTTGAGGACGCAGGAAGAAGGGGCAAAAGAACAAGAGGAGGAGGAGAAGCTGGCGACGACTTGAAGCAGATCTGAACCAAACAGATCGTTGAATTATGGTATGTCTTTTTCGACTCTATTTTCCCTCTTTTGTTTTGCACTTCTTTCCCCCTGGTATCCCTTCGTCTTGCTATATCCCCAAAGTATTCTCACGTATCCGAGTCGTATCCGACAACAAAAAATCCTTGCTCACTTTTTAGGATACTTGTAGAGGTCTCGGACATGTGTCCGACCGTGTCCCACTCGTATTGGTGTCCGACACGTATCTGATACCGCCACGTCGACCCCCTAGCAAGTATCCGTGCTTTCTAGGAAAGCATATAGGCACCGCAACCAACAACTGTATGTGTATTTCCCCATGCCTTCCCCCGATCTAGCTCATAATTCAACGGATAATCACTCAAATAATTAGTTTCCTAATGATTATGCTTGTTCTCAATACTCTTATCTGATATTCTTCCGGCGCTGAGACATAATATTATTTGAGTTCGAGCTAGGATGCAAATCAAACCAGATCTACAATAACCTCAACCCTCAAGCAATCCTATAATTGAAATAATTCCAAAAAGAAAACAGGACCAACTTCTATGGCAATACCAACACTAGAAACTTTCTTTTGGAAAATACTATTAGAACCTAATTGGGGGGCCTCATCTGTAGACCTAATTAAATACAACCATTTAATTGGTAGTGGACTCCATCTAAAATTAGAACTCACAATTGATCCACTAATCCAATGTTTGTACTGAAACCACATAGCATTGCTCTTTTCCTTTTCAGGTTTGGATATCACACACATACACACAGTTACGCTGCTGGTGGCCAACTTCCCATTAAACATCAAAATAATAAAGTCGCCATAGGACCCCAATTTCCTTTTCAATCATACAAGACATAAATTCATAATCTAGGAAAATAAATCTATATAATAAAGTACAATACAATTCAAATTCTAAAAAATAAACAAAATAACTTTTGTTTTTTGTGGTTCAAATCATCTCACAATTATGTCTGTTTTGATCTAGTGGTTGAAAATCATTACTAATTTATGTTCTCCTGTCCAAAAATTATGACACCTAAAAAACAGGTGTGCATCGTAAGGCGTGCAACATAGCAAGGGCTTGGTGTGCCAGGTTAACCGAGCCTTTGGGCTTTCAGTAGGTTTGGGCCCCACTCATATAAACTATGTGTGTTCATTTCTAACCATTGCCTCACTTGAAGCCAGATGTGTTTATTTAATTGTATACAATAGTTGTAATGTACTCATTGGTATCACTTCTTCCCGCCAAAGTGATTGCATGTTTCAATTTTATTTATTTTTTAAAATATATATTGATATACATATTTATTGAATTCTATTATAATCACAAAAAATTATCTATATAATAAAGTACAAAAGATTTTAATTCCCCAAGATATAAAAATAATTTTTATTTTTTACAGCCTGATCATGTCACAATTATATCTATTTTGATCCAATGGTTGAAAATTATTATTAATTTTTATTTTCCCATCCAATACTTAATCAAATTAAATCATAAAAGTCAGACTTTTTGCTCATTTTCCTTACATATTTTTTTTTTTTTTGGTATTAGGTAGTGTTTTTTTGGCACAAGCCTTAACTAGACTTAGATTTTTTATTTGTTATACAATGTCTACAAATGTTTTTTGTTTGTTACATAGTGCCTGCAATAACTAGTTCTTCGATAAGATAGGTCAAATGGACAATGACACGCAAGTCATTATTTCATTGTAAGGAGATTGACAATAATCAATCCTAATTAAGCTTTTCGTGATATTATCATAATCCAATACAGCTTTCATCACTGTAAAACCATCACAAAATCACGACTTCCACGTACTATTTATTTCACACCATTAAAATTGGAAAATAATAATAAATCATAACACAATCAATAAGCAATTCAGTTATGGAATATAATTGAACACGAATTCCTACTGCGTGTTTGTGAGTGTGTGTATGAGAGAGAGAGAGAGAGAGAGAGAACCTCCATCTTGGTGCAGAGAGAGTTCCCCGTGAAGATGTTAGAGTTCGGATGACGGCAAAAAGATAAGGTGGTGGCGGAGAGAGAGACGAGAGGTCGCAGAAGAAGGTGGCGACGGTGGTGGAAGTGGCGACGGAGAGTGGAGGATAACAAGTGGTGCCTGAAGGGAGAACAATAGCGGCAAGCATGACATACCCCCGACAGTGAGCTCAACGTGGTTCTCATTCTGAAGACTTCTATTATCTTCGCATCGTCTCTCTAGCTCCTTCGCACGATCCAAGCCCACACCACCTAACATGTCATATGTGCAAATTTATTGGGCTTTTTTTTAGTGCCTTGGCCCATATGATTGGGTCCAAGCTAGCCAGGCCTATCTGACCCTCCTTAATAATGTTTGATCCCATGTCACACATAATACAACAAGGTTTGACTATGATGATGCCCATTTTTCTTTTTAGTTCACTATGTAGTTAGTCCTGAACTTTATCATTTGTATCAAGTAAGCCTTTGAATTATGTCTTGTTACAATTTAGTCCTTAAACTATGAAATTTGTCATAATGTAGCCCTTCCGTCAAAATTCACCATTAATTTTGACAAAAAATCCTCACGTGACCTCTAAACTATAACATAATTTATGACTTACATTAGAATTTTTGTCAAAGTTAATAGGAAATTTTGACATAAGGGACATGTTGAGTCAGATTGCATATTTAAGAAATTAAATTGACACAAAAAATAATTTATGAACTTGATTGACACAAATAATATAATTTAAAGGTCAAATAGGTAGCTAACTCTTTTTCTTTTTTTTTTTTGACATTATACCATTTATTTATTTATTTTTGGGTATCTATATCACGTTTTGAATAGAGCTTCTAAAAAATTTAGGTGCACTCATTTTTTGGCTGCTTCCACATTTTCTTACAACCACCTTCGCAAATTTTCACTCTTCTTACAACTTTTCACTTCACTTTCTTTTTTAGATTTTTCATCGTCCTCTTCTTTTTCTTCTCAATCGTAACTAGACAAATTAAATGTTGAGCTTGCAAGAATGGCTTAGTAAGCAAGTAAACAATTGTATAGTAATGGTATTCAAAACAATTTTCAAGTATGAGGTCAGTTCAAGAGGTCAGAAAAGCAGGTTAGGAAAAACACGCAGAGCTCAGAGAATCAGAGCTAGAGCTCCCTCTAGATGCACCAACAGCGAAAATGGTAAGGAAACAATTGGATGACAACGGAAATCTTATAGGTGGCAAAGAGCCATATTCAAGACGCAAAATTCTTAACCAACCAAGATCCTCTTCTAAGATCAAGGAGAATTCCTCGAATAAATGGCAAGGATCTCGGTACAGATCCTGCAAAACTAAGGACAGCCCTATAAATATTATGTAACTCCCCCAAGAAAGGGGCCCTAATAATGTACAATTGGTCTTGTAAACTTTTCGTATGATCAATAAAAAAAAAGAAGAAACAAGAGCCTCCATTGAAGAGTAGATTAGCCGAGCTCCCGATCTGATGAACCACTATACTTTCACTTTGTCAATCCTCCGATTTCCCTCAATATCAATCATTGTTCTTTCAAGTCTAGTAGTTCAGATCTTAATAGTCATATACTGGTCATCTCATTTGATCAAAATCACAAAGTTGCACCACGTTTACGTTAATTTACAACATCATATAGGTATCAACACTCAATTTCTTCTTTGTTTAAGTTCTCAAATTAAATTTATATAACATTACTTGATAAAAAACGAAAAAGAAAATCTCATTCAACGCTCGAGTCCACAATAAATACATGTATATAAATATGCTATCTGGAAATGCACAAAGATCACATTTGCAGAGTAGTAATTAAGCATGTCTTTTATTTTTTAAAAGATTTTTGTGTTTGGCATGTGATTGTTGGGAATAAAGAGTTAGTTTTCATATTCGTATGACAATTAATTTGTGGCCTAAAAAGAGAGCGGAGAATGTTGGTTCTAGAGATTACTAAGATTTGTGGTTTGATTCAATTCAAAGAGTAAATTATACTTACCCCTTGAACTATTATCTTTATTTCATTTTATACTCTTAACTATAAATTTTTTTACATTATACCCTAAAATATCAATTTTGTTTCACATCATTCCAATAAATAATGACAAATTTAAAAATCTTTCAATGAAGTGAGGAAAATCCAAAAAAAAATGGATTTAGATCCCTTCCATTACTCATTTCCTTCAATTCCCCTCAATATAGTACTATATAAGTGAGATGTGTAAAATTTTCAATTTCAAAAGACAAAATTTTTTTTCATTCATTTTATTATCGATTGAGTGTTAACCATTATTGAGGAATTTTTTCATAAGGAAAATATCTTGTCCGTTGAATTCAGAATCTTACACATGTCAGTTATCTAGCACTGTATTAAAAGAAATTGAAGGGAATGAATAATGGAAGGGATTTGAATTCCCAAAAAAGGTCCCGCCAAGTGTCTAGTACCACTTTATTTTGCCTCTTTTGCAACTAAATGATTGGTAGGAAGAAAAAAAAAATCGGTCAGAGGAAGAAAATTTAGAACTTAAAAAAAACAAAGCTATGAATAAATTTTTTTTTTTACCTACACATGTACAAATAGACAGTTACTTATTGATAGTACAAACTACTTGTGTATTTGTCATCAAAAATTTGACATTCACTATCAATTAGAGTTATATAAAAAAATTAATATTTTAAGGTCTAAAATTAGAAATTTCAAATTAGAAAAAACAAAGGTATCTTGTTGGACTCGTCTGCCTTGTTGGACTCGTCATAGTCGTAGCCGGGAACATTATGAATACTTTGACTGCCAATTTATATAATAAGGAAGTTCGATATTTAAATTTTATCTTCAATTTTTTTTTTGCCCATTTTTATCACATTACTCATTTTATCATAAGTTAAATCATTTAATTTTTTATTAATTTATGATTCAATAAATTTTTATTTGAACATATTGATATTGATAAATTTTTTAGGTTATGTATTTTGAGAAAATTTTATCAATTTTTACTTTAAAAAATAATATGTAAAAATTAATTTTAAATTATGCAATTAAAAAAAGAGAAAGAAAAAAAATAGAATAAAAAATGAAGGGCAATTGGTTAGGGTTTTTGTCTTTTGTCTTTTTTTTTTTTAGAGATCAAGGATATTCAGATCAATTAATGTACATGTCAATTAATTTCTTCACCTATTCGATCAAAGACAAGTCATCCATAATTAAAAGACTTCTCGTCAATTCTATTTCATGCTTTCGACCTAAGCTTGAGTCGTAAAAATAGTTTCCCTATATATGAGTATAACATTGTATATATTTTATCGTCTCTAAATCTCATAATGAGAAATTCTCATCTTTTAAACTACCATTTTGTAAATCCTTAAAGCAGTAACAGAGCACCAAGCAATTGTATTTTTCTAATGGCAAGATTGGCCATTAATGCAAGCCTTTTAAGTCTTTTCTCAGCACTCAAAAAACAGCATTGGCTGCACTATGATTTGGACCTATCTTTCTCGAAATGTATTTTTTGGGTTATATATCTTTATTTTTTGTTTAATAAAAAAAATAACACGTATAAAATTCGTTTGTTATAATTTTATTACTTTATTAATCAATAATTCTGCATCATCTGAAATTAAATTAATGACTGAAATTAGAGACAATACGAAAACACGACTTAAAATTGTCACAAAATTAGCAAATTTGAATTGATCATTTCTAGAGACGAATCCGTAAATGGCACGACCCGTTAACACGAATATTAAATGAGTTGGGTTAATGTTAGACACAAACAACACAAAATTAATAAGATTAACAAGTTTAATTAGTATTATAAGATTAAAATGAAATTTTTTTTATTTTTTATCATGTATTTATATAATTTCTTGTACAAAAAAAAATATTTTTATTTATTTTTATTAATATGTCTATTAAGTTAATTTTTAGTTTATAACAACAGAATGATCATAAGTCAATTAAGTGATAATGAAATTTTAAACTTAAATTTTTGCATAGGTTTGATTACATGATTATAGAATCTTAAATTTAAATTTTTGCAATAAATTTTTTATTTATTACTTGGATTAACACGACACGATTAATTAAATAAATTAAATAAAAATTGACACAAATCTATAAATAACGCAACATAAACATATCTTATACGACACGACACAAGATTGCCACCTCCTAACTGAAATCGGATTTGGGTACGTTACCAAATCGGTAGCCTTTATCTCCATTTGGGCCCACAAAGTCAACTCCAGAGTCAAGGCCCAATACAAACGCCGCGGATGAATACGATAGTTCAATCAAGCTACCGAGATGCATGGAGGAGTGCCAGTTTCAACACGGTATGGCAATTATGTCAAACCAATTAATTAAATGTTGATTATTGTTGTATGCAAAGCTGAAAATAATATAATATGGATAATAAATAAATTGAGTTAGTCTTTCGTGAGATTATGATGTCCCATACTGGTTAAGGAGGAAAAAGTTGCTAAGCTTATTAGTAAGTCCCTCACCTTAAATGACATAAGGCCTTTTTTCAGAAATACTGGGAGGAACAAAGTCGTGAGGGCCAGTTGACCCAAAGCAAATAATATTATGTCATTTGGAGGGTGAGGTGTTACATGTTAAATATAAATAAATTTAATTTTAATAAAAAAATACATTAATCGATAATGTATGATTAAAAATGGGGCAAAATTTTAATTTTAGAGGGGCCTATAAATAGTGGACTTGATTGAGAGACCAAAGGGTCGATTTTGAGATTTTCATTCATGAATTACATATATTTATAAATAGATCAAGTTAGTGTTAATTTTTTGATATATTAATTATTATTATCAAAGTTTATAATTTTATAAGGTTAAGTTATAATTTTTTTGAGGTACAAGTTATAATTTCAAATTTACACTAAGGGGTAACTCAAATGGTAATATGAACGAACTGTAAATTTATACGTTTTGAATTTAAAATTTGAAAACCTCTTGAGCCAAGACTATAAAGAATTTATCTCTCATGAATACCATAATCTCGCACGTGGTTAACTTATTTTTGAACAAATCGGAGAGGAATTAGTCTTGGTGCACGTAAGGTGGCTTGGACAGGCTTGATCATTGAATAAAAAAAAAAAAGTAATTGTTAAAGATATCATCGATCAAAAAAGTTATAACTTTATAAAAAAAATTATATTTTTTAAAGGTCAAGTTACACATTTTAAATGTGAAATTCAACGGCTTAAGGGTAATTATGATTGTTCACAATATTTTTATAGTCGATCATTAATTATCCTATATATTGGTAACTTCACTTTTAAAAAGTCATAATTTGACCTAAGTATTGTACTATTTTTTTTTTTTTGTTTGGTACCATACAATTACCCTATGCATATATACTGAAAAAAAAATTCAGTTATAGTACTCAATTATAATAGCCATTATAGACTGGGTAATACTACTAAACACTCAAAAAATTAACCTAATTTATTGATTTAATAACGTGACAATGAAGTGGTACAATAGCAACGTTGTAACGATAACTCTTGAACTTTTTCATTGACACTCTATCACTTTACACATTATTATTTTAATAAAATAAGTTAACTTTTTAGATATCGATAATATTACTCTTAGATAATATCAACATGCGATATAACTTTTAAGGTTTTGTGGTAAATTTCTCTATAGTGAACATGATTCATATCTTTTAAAGTTTGAATATTGACAATCTTTTGGGTCTAGGTTACGAGAGATTTATCTCTTATAGAATACCTTGTCTTGACATGAATATCTTATTTTTGATCGAACCGAAAAAAAAAATTAATCGATGAACACATAAATTAGCTCAAATAACCCTAAGTCCCGATAGCATTACTATTTAGGATAAGTAGCACTGTGTCTGTGTGTGTAGGAGTTAATTACCTTATTTGATGTGAGGTGATTAAATATTAATTTATCGGACGGCCACAAATTGCACAACGACTGATACATTAATTCCATTGAAACCCTCCAACGGGGTTGACCTAAAGACTTTTGGAAACTTCCTGCATGTTAAAATCACGGTGCTTTTCAATCAGAAATCCAAAACAAACCTTGTCCTCTCATTACATTTTCATTACAATAAATAACTCTACATTATCGGTCAAGAAATTATCGGTTATAAGTTACTTTATTTTAAGTTTAAATTACAATAATCAGTTGAGCTATTCAATAAACAAATCATATGACTATGGATACATGAATCAATTGAAATCTGATTAGTTTATATTCATATATAATTCGGATATAAAATAAATAACTTTTTATTATGATACAATCTAATATGAAATCGAGATGCCATATTATCATGGGCAAATTGGACAATTCCAATTAAGGCCTTTAGACAACTTTTCCACATGGTCCTAATCGCCAATTTTTTCCACAGTCCAGTCCAGACGGCAGTGGCCTTATAAAAGAGTAAATTTAAAAAATGACATTATTCATTATGTTGTTTAGACTGATTGTGAGTCAGGCTAGATTGATCGTAGGGTCAATAATTAAATTAAGTTTGTCGAATTTATTATTATAAATGAATTTAAAAAATTATTAAATTTCATTTTGTTTAAAAAATTAGTGAAGTCTAAACTAAGTCAAATTCGAGTTCGAGCCAAACTTTTTAAAAATGAATCTAAAAAATTATTCAAACTCTATTTATTTTGCCCATTTGAAAAATAAGCTAAGCCCGAATAAGTCTTATTCGAGTCGAGCTCAAGTAATTTGGCTCGATTATCAGTCCTAATTATGGGTCTCATCAAATACTAGAACTTACTTTTCGTCCAATACTTTCAATGAAATCACATCATCGTAAATTAGGTCAAAATTTTGAATCTCCAATCGAGTATTGAGTATAATAGTGATATCACATTATTATTGTCATGTGGTGTTATTATTCAAAAATAAACATATAATTTAATAAGATGAACTCTACCGCGATGGTTATCAAATGACATCATCACTAATGCTCTCGTCTAATACTTTTAATGAAATCACATCATTATAAATTAGGTTAAATTTTTAAATCTTAAATTGGATAAATATTAGGTATAATAATGATATCACGTTATTACTATCATGTCGCGTCATTATTCAATAATAAATTTAAAAATGAATAAGATGAACTCCGCTGTGGTGATTGTCGTATCAAACGACATAAAAAAATAATTATTATAATATATAAAATTCCCTTGCTTACTTGTTCTAATCAGATGGTGACGTTACGGTGTTAATATTACTGCTTCTCCTGAGCAGCATTACTTACTCCTTATAAAATTCACGACAAAACCAACTCAAAGTCTTGCCACCCACCCAACCACCCACCCACGACTTCCCGGTTCCCAGACACCGTCTGCTTAGCAACTCGCCGGACACACTGACGCCAATGGCCTCGATTCCTTGCAAAACCCATCTCTCCCTCCTCTCTTTCTTCACTCTAATCCTTCTTGTTCAAGCAAAACTGTATCTCAACAGTTCCGATCACCTAGCTCTGCCAATCATTCTAAAGGACTTGGGCATCAATGGCCACCGTCGAGCTCTAGAGAGCCCATGCAACTCCGCCGGAGGAGTATTCTGTGAGCGAAGAATTTCCAACAATACATTCATGCTCAGAGTCACACGCATCGTTTTTCAATCCCAACGGCTCAGAGGAGTTTTATCCCCAGCAATTGGAAGATTGTCGGAGCTCAAAGAACTCTCTCTTCCTAATAATCAACTCGGTGACAAAATCCCATCTCAAATAGCTGATTGCCGGAAATTAGAAATTCTAAACCTCCAAAACAACCGGTTTTCCAGCGGAGTTCCGTCTGAGTTTTCATCATTAATCCGTCTTCGAGTACTCGACCTCTCTTCTAATAAGTTTTCCGGGAATTTGAATTTCTTGAAATATTTTTCCAACCTGGAAAAACTTTCACTTGCCGACAACATGTTCACTGGAAAACTGCCCCCATCGTTGAAATCTTTTCGCAATCTCCGTTTCTTTAACGTCTCTGGTAATAGATTCCTCGAAGGTCCAGTGTTAGAATTGAACCAAATCGAGTATTCAGCGCAAGGGTTGCCAAGAAAGAACACTGTTCCAAAACGTTTCATTTTAGTAGAGAACAAGACAGGAAGCAATCAAACGTCACCTTCTTCGAGTAAGAACTCAAGTTCAAACGTCGCTCCAGCTCCAGCTCCTTCACCCACCTCATCAACAACGCATAATCACAAGAAGAACAAGAAAAAGGTTGCAGCAATGATTCTTGGATTCATGACTGGAGCAGTAGCAGGAAGTGTATCTGGGTTGGTGTTTTCAGTGCTTTTCAAGATACTTTTAGTTTTGATAAAGGGTAGAGAGAAGCAACCTGGTCCAGCAATCTATAGTCCTTTGATCAAGAAACCCGAGGACTTAGCTTTCCTGGAGAAAGAAGATGGACTGTCATCCCTTGAAATCATTGGAAGAGGAGGGTCCGGTGAAGTTTACAGGGCTGAATTACCAGGAAGTAATGGGAAGATGATCGCCATCAAGAAGATAATTCAACCCACCATGGATGCTACTGAGCTAACTGAAGAAGACAGCAAACTTCTGAACAAGAAAATGCGTCAGATCAAATCAGAAATTCAAACTGTGGGTCAGATTCGACACCGGAATCTTCTTCCTCTATTAGCACATGTTCCCCGACCGGAGTGTCATTACCTAGTCTATGAATACATGAAGAACGGTAGCTTACAAGATTTGCTGCAACAGGTTTCGATTGGTAATGGAAACCTGGACTGGTTGGCCAGGCACAGGATTGCTCTAGGGGTAGCTGCCGGACTTGAGTATCTCCACATGCACCATACTCCAAGGATAATTCACAGAGATCTGAAACCTGCAAACATTCTTCTCGACGACGACATGGAAGCTCGGATTGCAGATTTTGGGTTTGCGAAGGCTGTCCCGGATGCTAATACACATGTTACGACTTCAAATGTGGCCGGAACTGTGGGATACATCGCACCGGAGTATCCACAGACGTTCAAGTTCACGGACAAGTGTGATATATACAGCTTCGGAGTGGTGCTGGGGGTTTTGGTGATGGGAAAGCTTCCATCTGATGAGTTTTTTCAGCACACATCAGAGATGAGTTTGGTGAAGTGGATGAGAAATGTGATGATTTCTGAGGAACCCAATAGAGCAATTGATCCTAAGCTGATGGGGACTGGTTATGAAGAACAGATGCTTCTGGCTCTTAAGATTGCTTGCTTTTGCACCCTTGATAATCCAAAAGAGAGGCCTAATAGTAAGGATGTTAGGTGCATGCTGTCTCAGATCAAACATTAGATATATATATGTATATATATATATGTGTGCTGTTTTATTTTTTTTGTGTGTGGGAGGGGGGGAGGGGGTTGTATATGTGTAATAAAATTAGGCCTTGGAGCTATTGCTGAAGCATGTGATTCTAAGTATGAAGTCGTTTGTACCCAGATTAATGAAGCATGCGATTCTAAGTAAAAGTAAATATTTTTAAGATTGGGATAAGAATGTTTGTTAATTATCTTACATATCTCATCGTTTTCGAAAGTCTTGTGCATGATGTTCGATATTTATATAAGAAGATGATGTCGTGTCCAGTGTTACATAGTCTGTAGATGCATGAAGTTCATGGGTTGATCCATGTAAGAAATATAAGTAACCACCACCCAAGGACCACTAAAAGCTGAAGACAGCTTAACCCAATAACTCTCCTAATCTAATAAAAACCTCGACAAATGGCATGTGGTCCATGAGCTTGGTAGTTCATCGGACCATGGGGCGGTTCCTAGAGCGCTCCATATACATAGCCCAATGAATAGGGCCAAGGACCATTAGTTTTATCCTTCTGGCTATGCCCCTTTAGTTTTATAGTTCCTACCAGAGCTAAGGGCTTTGAACACAGTTTGTGTTGTTTTCTGTTGCTTTACAAAGACAGAAGTAATTATGAATAAAATGATTTTGTACACCACCTATTAAGTGATGATGTACAAAATGATTTTGCACACCACCTGTTAAGTATAAATAATAAATGTAATAAAAATAAAAAGAGAATTGGAGCAGACAAGATTTATAGTGGTTCGGTCAACGTGACCTACGTCCACTCTTGAATGGATTTGGTCGCCGGGTGCTTTTATTAGGTCAAGAGTGTGGAGAGTAGAGAGTACAAGCTTTGAGGCAGAAGAAAGAGTCGTGGTCAAGTAAAGTGTGATGCCCCCCAAGTGTTGGTGGGGCGTGCAATTTATAGTGGTCCCCTAATAGATTGAGAGCTACTTTACAACAACTAAGCGACTACTCTGGTGGAGCTCACGACTTCTTCTCAACGGGCGAGGATGTTGGGGAGCTATCTTTGAGATGCTGTCAAAGATGAGGTAAGGGTAGACTTTTTCCTCTGCGGTGAAGGTAGGGCTTTCATGCTCTCCCTCTTGATGATGTAGCCAAGCAGAGAGTGTGACTGGTCTTGGACTATGTTGGATTTGGTGGATCTTTTCATGAGGTTGGGCTCCTCAATTAGGATTGGACTTCTCACATAAATTGTGTTATTTGAGCTTGACCCATCAAGAAGTACTAAATATGAAGATGAATTAAAATTTTATGCCGGTTGCCATAAGAGATTCAAGTTGATTAATAAACTCTCATCTATTCTTCTAAAAGTTGACTTTTTTAGAAGTGGTGCTTAGACATAGACTTGTTGGTCTTCTTACACGCTTGAGACTACAACTTAAGTTGACTCTCAACTTTAAATCGAAATATTGCCAAGACAAAGCTTGCTATCGCTCTACAAGGCTGATTCTCAACTTCGAATCCAAAAATTGTCATGACAAATCCTCATATGACTTAGCATTAATGAAATCTCGCGATTTTATGGGTGAAATGACTCCTCAAATTAATATATAACGAACTTTGAGTGTAAGTAATGTTTGGACGTGCTATGACTACGAAGGCCCAAATAGTTTACTTTTGCTCTCCGATGTTACCACATGAGATTCTAGTTGATTTAGTTGAGAACTCGTTGGATTAATACTAGGATCGTTCTTGACTTGAAGAGTAAGAAAACTAAACTTTAGCATCTTGTCCGATTGGTAGAAACATAAATAGAAAAGGGATCCAAAGACTAAAAGAAAAAAGATGAGAAAACGGCAAAAGAAACTGATGGCTTTGGCTTTCTTTTTCTTGTTTTTTTTTATCTAAATATAGTTGTGCTGTGGATATGTTGTATTATATTCTTATTTTTATTTCAAAATGTTTTTTTTAATCTGCAGTGTTTGTAACAGGCTATTGTGTTTCTCTCATGGATATAAAAATTCAAATTGAATCACGTAATTTTGTGTGTTCTCGTACTATTTATAACCTCCGAAAGAGGAAAGAGTGCGTAGTGATTGAGTAAAAGATGGTTCCAAGACACTTAACTCCAGGTAAATAAATCCTATTCATCAGTTAGTCATCCATTTACTGATTTATTTAGAAGGAAGACAGGTAAGAGGCATGTGTCCAGATGTTATTATCCGAGGAAATGTCTTATCAGTAATGTTAAACTGACAAAATTTTGGAATTAAATTTAGAGTTTAAATGATATTATAATTAATTATTTGAAGTATTTATTGGGTTCCAAATGACATGACACCAATCAAAGAAGCTCAAATCAACTGTCATGTCATTTAAATTCTAAATTTAATCCCAAAATTTGGTCAATCTACCCTTACTCGTGTCTTATACTTCACCAACATACTCTCCACATTCTAACGATCTCGTGTTGGGCGTACCCGTTGCATAGAATATTGCTCTTTGAATTCATTAATGACTCGAGTAAACATGCAATATAACGGTTACGACACGATATAACTGTCATATAATGTCGTCAAGCAATAATAAACAAATAAATAAGAGAAGTGAATCACACTAATCCCACATTACAGTTTTTTATAGTGACAGTTTATCGGTAATTATAGAGTTTAGTGTGAATTATTATTTGTACATGTTTATATATAATTGGTTAATAATATTACGTGACAGTGATGACTTGATATCATTATTACATTTAATAGTTTATCGACCTCCGCTAGTCTATTGTGCAGCTTCCAAGACAGAAAAACACATTTTCTAACATGAATCCATGAATCCTTGTGATGGAACAAAGAATAATACGTAAATTCGTCACAAATTCCGAGTTTAAAGTTTATTGATTACATAAATACAAATTTAATTAATATATATAATTTGTGAATGATTATGTTATCTAAGATTTACATTGCATTATAATTAAAAGTTAAAAAATACGTGATTAAAACGTTTCTCCATTAAAAATAAAAAATATTATAAATTGATATGGGCATGTGGGTTCACCTTTATATGCAAATCACCCCTCTTCTCCTCCTCCCAACCGGGCTGTGTTGGCTTTCCCTTGCATGTCTAGCTGTAAATCAGCTGATACACCGCTGGACAGCATAGGTTTCCACCGTTTTTTATTCCAGGAAATAAGCAACAATTATGTGATTTAGAGTGTTGCAGTCCAATGCATCGGTTGTCTTGCAAATCTCAAAAATCATTCGCTGTCTTAAATAATCAATATCCTCTGCACTTGACTAGTATGTGATAGATTATCCAATCTCGAATAATCTTAGTTATTGGTGGGGATTTGGTCCGTTTGCTGATATTTGTTTAGTCATTCAGATAGTGATTAACGTTTTTTTAGCTATGCATCACACACCTCATATGAATCTAACTTTCAACAGCATAGAACACATTAAGAGAGATGTTAAAGGGGGCTAGTTGCTAAGTTATATGCATGCTAATGGAAGGCATTAAAGGAGCAAATGTTAAGGTTAGTGGTTATTCTAATTGTCATCGTCCTCACTGTTAGATCTTAAGATTGTGGGTTCAAATTTCGTCGTTTTTTTTCTGTAATAACGTCTAACCAAAAAAAAAAAAAAATTGAGCAAATGTTAGGATTGTGAAATGGTCATTATAAACATTTTATTGATTTGAATAAAATATACACTTTTTAATTAATTTTTCAAACTCATACTCAACTATAATTGAACTCAGTATACACCGACTATCCCAATTAATCATAATCAACTTTACATTGATATAAAAAAAATAGGGTTCAATTACAATATTAAAAAATAATTTTTTGATAACGTATTTTATATTTTTACCAATCAAAACATTCCACGTGCAATTTTTTTATCTTTTATTACACTTTTGTACTTTATTATTTTTAAAATTAATAACCAGAATTAAATTAACATAAAATCAATGATTAACGACCAAAGCTAATTCAGTTCAGTACCTCGTAGAGTCCATGTAGACCTATCCATACACCGCCCCAAAGTACTTCCATTGGACACCATGGTGACACGTACACAGTACCGTGAAAATGGGATGTCGCATGAGAAGGGAACACCATGGTATTAAAATTTTATTTTTTAATATAATATTGAAAAATAAAAAAATATAATAAGTCTTAGGAAAATATACCCATCAGAATCCCACCGAAAATTATAATTTTTGAAGGCTTAATTATAATTTTTTAAGATGTAATTTATAATTTGTAAAAGGAATAATTAATTCTAAAATATTAGAATTGATCATAAAAATTATAATTTTTAAATATTAAATTATAATTTTTAAAGCTTAATTTATAAGTTATAAAATAAAAATTATAACTACCCAAGAAAATATTATAATTAATCACAATATTTGTGATCAATAATGAATTTTCTTTGATCATTATAATTTTATCTTTCAAAAGCAAATCTTTACCATTAAAAACAAGAACTTTGGGTATTGAATTAATTAATTTATTTTTTGATATCATAGATTTTTCTAATTATTCTAAAAAATTTATAAATTTTATCCACAAAAATAGTAAATGAATCCCAAAAATTCAAGGGAACCCAAAAAATAAATACTTGGATATCACTAATAGCCCAACATCACAGTCCGTCACAATATCACTCTCTCCCTTCGCATCACTGTATTCTCAACAAGAACAAGAACAAGAGCAGAGGGAATGTCGATCCACTTCTAATTCAACCCAAAACAGTCTTCGATTGTTAGACACATGTAGAGAGAGAAAGTGATAGCTATTTATAGAGAGAGAAACAGATAGAATCATGGGCGGGATGACTTCGTCTATGGCGGCCAAGTTTGCTTTTTTCCCACCGAGCCCGCCGTCATACAAGCTAATTACAGACGAAGCCACTGGTCTCTTGCTCTTACACCCTTTTCCTCACCGTGAAAACGTCGAGATTTTGAGGCTGCCCACTCGTCGAGGCACAGAGATCGTGGCTGTTTATGTACGGTACCCAATGGCCACCTCTACTCTGCTCTACTCTCATGGGAATGCAGCTGATATTGGTCAGATGTATGAGCTCTTCATCGAGTTGAGCATTCACTTGAGAGTCAATCTCATGGGGTACTCTCGCACTCTCTTTGTCTATACTTGTGTTGTACATATGTGTGTTGATGAAATTGGGGTGAATCACCAATACCCAGTTTGAAGTAGTGAGATAAATGAGCTATTTGTTTGTTAAGTTTTAACTTTATGGTTTTTTTTTAGTTGGCTACGCTTTTAGCAAATTTCAGATTTTTTGGAGTTTTATGGGCTCCTTGTAGAAGGGTATTGATTACATGCATTGGTAAATTTTTGTGGGATTAGCCTTTATTTACTATGAAATTTTTGGGATGCTTAGAGTTTTTTTTTGGTCAGGGGATGATTAGAGTTTACTATTATGCGTTAATTTCATGGATGCTGCTTCGCAAGATTTCGATGGTTGTTTAGTCTTCTTTTATAGGGGTACTGATAATAATTTGGAGAATCTGTTGTGATCCAGGGGGAATCTGTTTTTGATTTTTTGATTCATTGTTGCTTAGGAAGGTAAATATGCTATGGCTCTTGGAGAAAAAAGGGGTGGAAGGAAAGGAAAAGTTTTTGCACGTTAATGCCTTATTGTCGCTCCTGAAGTGTAGCTGGGTTGAAATATAAAGGATGTGGTTTTCATTTGTGTTTGATTTCTTCCCACAATTCTGTTCCTTAGGAACATACAATATGTGGCATTGTGACTAAAACTGTGTTCAGAAACTGCATCACTTTTGCTATTCTGTTGCAGTGTTATAGTGTAACTTAGCAAATATTACATTTGGAGGGAAAGAGAGAAAAGTAGTGGTAAGAACTGAAAATAGAGCGAAAAATCAGAGTAGAATATTGTGGTTGATCAAAGAGGATGACCCAAGGTGAGGGTTTGGTTGGGGGTGTTGTTGCTTATGAATCCAGTAAGGTCATCCCTTGGGGATCTGCTAGGGATGTCTTGCAAAAAAATAGTTGCTGAGAAAAGTGAATTGAGGTGAGGTAAAGAAAGGTCACAAATTAAAGGAAGCCACACTACTTGCATTGCATGACATTGTTCTCATAAATAGTTGGATAAGTTGTGAGAGAAAATTTATCTGTTTATATTGGTGGTTAACAGAGAAACAGTTTGTGGCACTAGTGCTACCACACGCTCTGGTGAAATTTGACTAATAAAAAGTGAAGTAATTTCTTTCTATTTTATGTTTTTTGTCAAGCAAATGAAGCCTTAAGACAATGGCTAACTGTGAAAATAAATTTATATTGTATTTAGGGGTAAATGGTGAGCCAGGGTACTCAACACATTGAGTTCTTAACCTGTGTTCATAGACTTACTTCTAGATACTCCTCCATTTCATGATTATTTCAAACTTTTACACTTCTACTTTAGATAGGGTTTATTTTAGTTCATTTATAGGCCTTAAATCTTCTTTCACATCACAAAGTTGAAAACAAGAAACAATAATGAAATCCTGAAAACAGCATCTTGTTTGTTACATTATAGAAGATGAACTAGAATGCTTTTAAGAACTGTCACATTTTAAGTTGATAAATTTTATTAGTGCACTATGTTTTGTATGTGCCAGCATCTCAATTGGGAAATGGGAAGATATCTTGCTTCCCAATTGGTAGCACTGGTGCCATGTCCCGCTGGACAACGTGCTTTTTCTCTTATACCACAGCTTCTATGCTCTACAATCTATTTTCTTTTTATATGGTTGCTGTACTCAACTGATTATTGAGTTAAGCATCAGATGTGAAAGTGCTCTTAGACACTTTATATCTATTCAGGTACGACTACTCTGGCTACGGGCAGTCATCAGGAAAGGTAATCATTCTGATTTTACCAAGGGCATATCTATTCCTCTTTCTTTTTTTGTGATCTGGTACTCAAAAACCTGAGAGAACCCTCTGAAATTATTATTTATACTTTTGCAGCCCAGTGAGCACAATACGTATGCTGATATCGAGGCTGCATATAAGTGTCTTGAAGAGAGCTATGGAACTAAGCAGGAAGACATAATCCTTTATGGTCAATCTGTTGGAAGTGGCCCCACTTTAGATCTTGCTGCCCGATTACCTCGACTAAGAGCTGTTGTTTTACACAGTCCTATACTTTCTGGCTTAAGAGTCATGTATCCTGTGAAGCGCACTTACTGGTTTGACATCTATAAGGTGCAATAGTGATTTGTCATTTGATCCAAATCTCTATGCTTATAATCCGTGCATATTTGAAGAGTCTGAAATTGTTTTACATTGATATGTGCAGAACATTGACAAGATTCCTTTGGTGAAATGTCCTGTTTTAATCATTCATGTAAGTATTCAAATTTCTACTTTGCATTTCATAGTTGCATAAAGAAATTGATCACGTGGCCATTATCATCAGTGAATGTTTGCCATGCTATTCCGATATAGGTAAAGAAGTAACTTCAGGGATGAGAACTCTTTTGCGACCTGACATTTTATAAATGAAATGAATTCAGTTAGTTTTCCTCCAGAGCATTTTAAGTCTCTAGTCCAGCCTTTTAAATTATTGTCATAACAGAAATAACGTTGATGACAAGGGCAACACATCTATAACCAATGGATAGGAATATGTGGTACCTGCAGTACTCACACCATTATGAAATTTCATTGAATCCGATTTCTTGTGGTTCTGAAATGTTACATTGGTTTTGGTATGCTGTGTACTAAATTCTGCTTTTAAAAGATTGATCACATTTATTACATTTTTATTCTGATCTTGAGGGATTCAATACTACGATAGGGAGTACATAATGAGCCTGTGGAAGGCCACCTGGCCTAAGCCCACAATTTCATTGGTTATCTTTTCCCACTAATAAGGTTTGGTTGTCTGGCTAAATGATCACATGGGGCACTTGGATATATGTCCCAGTTTGTGTGATTTTTCTTTTTGGCTCTCTAATATTTCAACAATGTTTGAGGAAGGAAAACATGATTGCTGAATTTATGGTATGCTGCTTTTTGGGGCATGAATTGGGAGTTATTCTAGATTTTTAGGCCTTGCTCTATAATTTAGACAGAGAATTTCCTTTCATCCTTATGTATGCTTGTTCTTCATGTTTTTTCTTATATAAGGCACTATCAAAAGTTTGAATCACTTATTTGGGATTATTTAAATCAATTAAGTAGAGATGATGTGCCTTGGTTGGATTTCCACTGTTCAACGCTTGATTTGTCAACAACTTCGGTGCATGTTAGGAAGCTGAAAATCTGTGTCAGCCAAGGATTGATATACAGCATTACAATTTTTAAAGGAAGAATATTTTTGGGAAGTTAAAAGAAAGAAGCTGAGGGAACACATACACAAGTCATGAAATGGGATAGATAATCTACTATATGTTTTGATGATTATTTTCAATATTTTTTAAAAAGGTTTTGATAATAACTCAAGATATCACTTATGCGCCCAATATTTAATGTGATTCACAAACATTATTTTCCTTCAAGGGATGCTATTTTGGTCCAAAATAGTGACTAGCGATAACCTTCTTGTGAAGTTGGTCAAGCAGTATGCTTACCAGCTTTTAGGCGACAGAATGAACGTGGTTTTGATCCGTTTGCTCCATTTGCAGAAAATTTGGATGTGCTCGAACTTCCCATGCATCCAAGGGAAAAATAATTCTTGAACAACCTGATGTGAAAGGCGGTAGCTAACTAGGGACAGTATTTATGGCTTTCAAGAGCCCTTTGTGTGATCTTGCAAAAGGCAATGTAGGAGCGTAAACAATGGAAAAAAGAATGAGATAGGTTTTCCTACGAAAGAGTGTACAAAACTTTCTAGGTTCCACAAATTGACAATGAAGATGAACATTTTACTCAATTATCTTCTGAAGTCGAGTGAAAACACAGAAAATTTGGAATGTATATTCAATTTTTGTGTTCAAAGTGTCCGTTTTAAAATATAGGCCTAAGATTTATGTAATCTCTTTGCAACAGTTTGCTCTTTCATGAGAATCAACCAGATAGTGTGGAAAGAATCCTCCCCCTTTTCAGTTTTTTAGAAGTGAAAATACTTGAAAGATGGTAGTCTTACCTGGGGAATTCATGGTCTTTCCTGTATGGTACAAATTAAACTTGTCCTGAAGATCGTTATGCTTGATTGCCATGTTTGAAATCACTATTTTTTTGAAAGAACAAGTCCTCCAGCCTCTAACATGTTTTTTCTTGACACTTATTGTAGCAATTACTGGCTTTCCTCATTTTCCACCAAATTGCAGTTATATGTAGCTCTGTCATTCTTCTTTGAACATGGTTCAAAGACTTCACTAATAATTTGTCCTTGAATGAGATAGGTTGATACAACTTGTTTTCATGGCATTGTAATATAAATACCCTTTGCATTTACCTTGTGAATTATAAACTACATTATGTGAAAAGAGAGTTGCTGCTGCTATCATTGAACCCTTATCTTGTTCATGTCATTCATCTTCAACATTCCTTTAAATGGATATATTCTATTGTATTTTCGTGAGTTTATTTTCTTTCAGTGGTGCACACTATTTTTAATCTGTTTATTAGCTTATGATATTCAATCTCTTTGGTTTATCATTCTGTGCAGGGAACTTCTGATGAAGTTGTTGACTTCTCCCATGGTAAACAGCTATGGGAACTTTGCCAAGATAAGTATGAACCATTATGGGTCAAAGGTGGAAATCACTGTGACTTAGAACTATATCCCGATTATATTAAGCACCTAAAAAAGTTTGTGTCTACCGTTGAAAAACCACCCTCCCAGAGGAACAGTTCTAGGAAAAGTATAGACCGACCTGAGCATTCTAGGAAGAGTACTGATTGTTTTGAGGCTCCAAGAAAGAGCACTGACCGCAGGGAGAAACCCAGGCGAAGCACTGATAGGCTTGAAAAACTGAAAAGCTTTGAGTACAATTTCACTAATGATGAGAAGCTGGCCAAGTTGAGAATACCGTTCGACCAGGTGGAGAGATCTCGGAGGAGTGTAGAATACCATGAAAAGTCTCGAAGAAGCATCGATCAACAGATGGAAAGGGCACGGAAAAGTGTGGATTGGGTGGATAGAATACGAGCTGGGTAAGTCTGTAAAGCTCATTGTAAAATTGTGTACCGCATTTTTCTCGGGGCAAATGGGGAAAGAAGAGATGGAAGTTGTTGACGTTGATGATTTAACTTAATGAGTTGTTTATTTTGCTCTTTGCAAGTTCAATGACAGCTCCAATGGAATGTAGATTTGTATGCATTTTTCATTCTATGTCCTCAAATTACTTGTAACTTTGATTTTCGTTGGGGATAAGGAGACTGGGTGATAAAGGTATATTTTTCAGACCCCCATACCATTTTTGTTATTCTAAAGCAGTAATAAACAGAGTTCCAAGTGGCACCCAAAGGCCCATCTGTTTACACTGGGTCACTGGTATGGGCCACAGAATATCAGGCCAAGCCATAGGCTATGGACATTGTTCTGACCCTTTTGTACAAAGTTAAGTTCATTGGGGACATGCTGTTAGTCTTAAAAGTAAGCCAGGCCCATCTGTTGGTGACAACAAGGCCTATCTGTTCTCACTGGGTCACTGGCCTGGCCACAGAATATCAGGCCATGGGCTGTAGGCCTTGCTCTGACCATTTAGTGCTCGTTTGGCAACGTTTTTATTTCTCGTTTTTCGTTTTTGTTTTCGTTTTGACATTCGAAGAAAACAACAACAAAAATTTCATTTGGTAATTGTTTTCATTTTTTTCTTTTTGTAATCGTTTTAAAAACTGCCCTAGTTTTTGAAAACGCTAAAAAGTCATTTTTGAAAACGAAATAAAACGAAAACGCGCGATCACAATTAATGAGGTCTCACCTTCAACTCCCTCTAGCAACACAATCTAGCCTATTTTGTGTCCAAGTATGAAAAAGTAATTTTCAGCCTTTTTTCTCATCTCACTTTAAACGACCCACAACTTCTCTTCTCCACCGAAATCCTACAAAGTCCCCCTCCATATGAAGAAGAGAATAAATCAGCCATCAAACCCAAGAAGGACACAGAATCAGACGTTGTTTGTGACAAAAGAGGTTTAATGTGTTTATCACAAACGTTTTATGTTCTTACCTGAAATTTTGATTTAGGTTTTCTTTATTCTTGATTTTTCTTGGATTATGTCAAAATCGTTGTTAGATCTTCAATGATTTATTTGATTTAGCTCTATGTTGTTTGGATATTGGCATTTTTATTGTGTTTTGAACTCTATGATTTGAATCTGTGCATAAAATCGATTTTATGCAAACACGCTATTTTTTCCTTCGAATTTGTGTGTAGATCTATGATAAAATTGACTCCCAATGCTAGTCCTAACCTATTATCATATAGATCTAGGATTTACCCAAGTTTTTGTTGGACCAAAACAGTTTTTTAAGTATAAAAACTAAATTTTGGTTGACTTTGAGCACAAATTAAAGTGGGACTCGATTATTATTTTGAATAAAATTTAGTGAGTTCATATTCTATTCCGTGAGGAGAATAATGTAATATATTCACTTGCTCAAATCGAGTAAGAAATGAATGAGAAAATAGGCTCCAAAGTGACCCTCTTGAAATGTGAAAATAAAGGAAGTGTAATGTGGGATGTGACACCAATCCCACATTGGTTGAGGAAGAAATTTAACATGGGCATATACAAACCAAGTTTACTATATGGGATTGGACCCCAAAGGGTACCACAGTTTTATGAGCGGAGCAAGCACCTACATGCCTTCAGTTCAACCACACGCGCCGCCTGCCTCGCCTAGCCACGACCCGACCTGATCTGGCTCGGGTACGGGTGTGTGGGTGTGGTTTAGACCAAGCCCTATCTTTTTAGAGAAAATTTATTTAATTAATTGGGCGAGAATTTTTTAACCCGAAATAAATTTTTCAGTACCCGTTGGATCACACTAGTTCGAATTTCTGCTTCTCACTAGTCCGAAAATTCTGAGTTGTGGCTGTCCATGAAAAACAGTTACTCAAGGTGTCTACTGGTTGTTGTGTCTTGTTCTTCTGGGTTGTGTCCTTTAGTAAGGTGACTGCCCGAAAAGTTATCAATGTGTCTATAAATACCCAGGCTCATTTTCATTAAAAAATACATTCATTCAATTCGTTTTTAACAATAAGGCAAACATTAAAACATATCATTTTCGGCATTAAAGCGGTGCATTTAGAGAGTACACAACACGATTTTGGTTCACTAGACGATCAGATTGGAGTGCAACTTCTGTTCGTGTAAAATTATTATATCATAGGAGGCAGATGCTCAGTATTCCATAAGTACCGTGTGTGGGGGCAAAATCTGACACTAACCTTGATTTACCTAAAGTTCAATAACAGTTCATGTTCTGCAATCAGGTTAGCATTTATATTGTTTAAATAAACAGTTACATGTATCTGTTTACTGTTACTGTTTTGTTACCCTGTTGTAACTCTGTCGTTTCTGTATAACTCTTTACTGTAACTATTTTGTTATACTTTACATGATTCAAATCAGAAATTCTAATAAGTGATTTTGTAATATTTGGCACACCACAGTTTATAATCTTAAGACAGATTTCTTCGAATTTGTATAATTGCTTGTTGTGTTTTTGATACATGTTTTAATTTTTAGACTGTTCAAAAATATTACAAATTGTTAAATCCTATTTTGTTTACAATCTGTAATATTTTGAAGAGACTTAAAAATTTGTGAAAAATTGTATATTCTGTTTTTCGTATTTAAATTCGAACAGTTACACAAAAAAGTGACTTTGTTTCTGTGTATGTTTTAAACAGTTACACCAAATAGTTACTTTGTTTCTATGTATGTTTAAACAATTACACCAAATAGAGACTTTATTCAGTGTATGATTTAAACAGTTACACTAAACAGTGATATCATACAAAAACGATACAATAATAATTTTAAAATAGTGACACTGTCTCTATTTTAATAACTTGTTTTGAAAAGTGTTATTGTTTTTCTATTTTTGAATAAGTTTGTAATATTTGTTTATCAGAAATGACTGCAAATGATAATATTGTTTCTACTACTACAAAATCATGTTGTGCTTGTGATGCCTATTTCTGTTCCTACTTAAGTGTCTCATGAGGAGAAATCTGAAAAGTTCAATGGGAATGATTTTAAGAGATGGCAACAGAAAATGCTGTTTTACCTCACTACGTTGAATCTTGCAAAGTTTCTTTCTGAGGATGCTCCTATTTGTAGTGAAAATGAGACCGACCGCCAAGTTGTTGTTGCGGTAGATGCATGGAAGCACTCTAATTTTCTATACAAAAATTATATCTTCAATGAATTCTATAACACATTATATAATGTGTATAGTCCAATCAAGAAGGCTAAAGTGCTGTGAGAATCCTTGGATAGAAAATACAAGACGGAGGATGCTGTAATGAAAAAATTCGTTGTGGACAGATTCCTTGACTACAAAATGATGGCTTCCAAGATTATCATAAGTCAAGTTCAAGATTTTCAAGTGATCCTACATGAGATTCATGTAGAAGGGATGATGCTTAGTGAATCTTTTAAAGTGGTTGAGATGATTGAGAAATTACCACTAAATTGAAAGAATTTCAAAAATTATTTGAAGCAAAAATGCAAAGAAATGAAACTTGAAGACTTGATCGTGAGATTGAGAATTGAGGAGGATAATAGAGTTTACGAAAAGAAAGTTGACAATTATTCCAAGGAGTCAAAGACACATGTGATTGAAAAGGGATATAAAATCAACAAGAAAATGAAGTATGTTGGCCAACAAGGGCTCAAGGGTGATGATTCCAAAAGGTTCAAAGGCAACTGCTTTGTGTGCAATAAACTGGGATATCGTGCAAAGGATTGTCGAAACCGTAAAGTACAAGTGAATCACAAGAAGAAGACTGTCCAAACCAAACCAATATAACCGAGGTAGAAAAATATTCTGAAAATGTTTCTAACATTAATTTTTCTGTTGTAGTATCCAAAATGAACTTGGTGAAAAATACCAAAGAATGGTGGGTGGACACCGGGGCTACTAGACACAAATATTCGGATAAGAAGATGTTCTTTTCATATGAAACAATTAATGATGAAGAACAACTCTACATGAAAAATTCCTCTACTTCTAAAGTTGAAGGCAAACGAAATGTTATATTGAAAATGACTTCCGAAAAAGAACTTACTCTCAATGATGTGTTACATGTTTTATAAATTCGAAAGAATCTTGTATCTAGATCGTTGTTGAGTAAGAAGGATTTTATGTTAGTTTTTGAGTCCGACAAATTTATACTCACAAAGAGTGAAATTTATGTAGGCAAGGAATATATGAGCGATGACACTGTCAGATGAATGTAATAACAATTATATATGATTTTAATAAAAAGAACACATCTTCTGCTTATATGCTTGAGTCTTCTAATATATGACATAGTAGATTATACATGTTAATATTGATACTTTGCGTAAATTAATGAATTTAGAACTGTTGCCTAAATTTAATATTTACGCAAATCATAAATGTGAGATATGCGTTTAATCAAAAATTAACTAGAGCATCATTTCATAATATTGAAAAAAAGACTGAGCCTCTAGAATTAATTCATAGTGATACATGTCATTTGAAATATATTCAAACTAGAAGTGAAAAGAAATACTTTATTACATTTATTGATGATTGCACAAGATATTGTTATGTATATTTGCTAAGGAGTAAAAATAAAGTATTAGAAAAATTTATGCACTATAAGAATAAGGTTGAGAATCAATTTGGCAAAAACATTAAGGCAATAAGAAGTGATCAAGGTGACGAATATGACGCACCTTTCGATCGGTTCTGTCAAGAACATGGTATTATTCACCAAACTTTTGCGCCTTATACACCTCAGCAAAATGAAGTTGCTGAACGTAAAAATAGAACATTGAAAGAAATGATAAATGTCATGTTGATTAGTTCGGGATTACCTCAAAACTTGTGGGAGAAAGTTTTGTTCTCAGCAAATTATATTTTAAATAGACTACTCCACAAGAAGTTAAACAAAACCGCTTATGAATTATGGAAAGGTTGGAGTCTTTCTTATAAATATTTAAAAGTGTGAAGGTGTTTGGCTAAGGTGATAATTCTTATTCCTAAAATGATTAAAATAGAACTTAAGACTATTAATTGTATATTTATTGGTTATGCAATAAATAGTAGTGCATATCATTTTCTTGTGCATAAATCTGACATTCTTGATATACATGTCAATACAGTCATTGAATCAAGAAATGCATCTTTCTTTGAAAATATATTTCCTAGTAAAAATGCATGTGATGAGAGTTCTCTTAAAAGAACTCATGATACTACGATTAGTAATATAGACCATGAGTTTGTAGATAAAGAAAATGAAGAGACACTTAGACGTAGTAAAAGGGCAAGGACTTTCAAGTCCTATGGTCCAGATTTTCTAACATATTTGCTAGCAAATGAGCCTCAAAGCTTCAATGAAGCGATGTCCACTCCTGAAGCACCTATGTAGAAAGAAGTTATAAATAGTGAAATTGAGTCCATCATGCAAAATCACACCTGGGAGTTGGTAGATCTTCCTCTAGGGAGTAAACCATTAGGGTGTAAATGGATTTTCAAAAGGAAAATGAAAACTGATGGATCAATTGATAAGTACAAGACTAGACTTGTAGCTAAAGGTTACAAACAAAAAAAAGGTCTTGATTACTTTGATACATATTCTCCCGTTATGAGAATAACATCTATTCGTATGCTCATACCAAGTGCAGCATTGCATAATTTTGAGATACATCAAATGGATGTGAAAACAACTTTCCTAAATGATGACTTAAATGAGAAAATTTATATGGATCAAGCCGAAGGGTTTGTTTTTCCGGGACAAGAGAAGAAGGTGTGTAGACTTGTTAAATCACTTTATAGTTTAAAGCAAGTACCAAAACAATGACATGAGAATTTTGACAAGGTAATGATGTCAAATGGTCTCACAATTAATGAATGTGATAAATGTGTCTATGTCAAAGACACAAATAATAGATATGTTATTATTTGCCTATATGTGGATGATATACTTATTTTAGGTAGTAATAATAATATTGTTACAACTACCGAGAAAATGTTGTCTAGTAAATTTGCATGAAGGATTTGAGTGTTGCAGATGTTATACTAGGAATTAAAATTTCTGAAACATCTGGTGGACTTATATTATCTCAATCACATTATATTGAGAAAATACTTGATAAGTTCGACAAAGATGAAAACAACATTGCTAGAACACCAGTTGATATAAATCTTTATTTGTCTAAAAATATTTGTCTAAAAATATTGGTCAAAACATATCACAATTGGAATACTCTCATATCATTGGCAGTCTAGTGTATGTCATGAACTGCACTAGACCGGATATAGCATACTCAGTTAATAAATTGAGTAGATATACGAGTAATTCGAGAATAGACCATTGAAAAGCAATTATCAGGGGTCTTAGATACTTAAAATATACTCTAAATTTTGGATTGCACTATATAAGATATCCAGCTGTACTTGAAGGGTATAGTGATGCAAATTAGATATCTGATATGAAGGACACAAAATCCACAAGTGATTATGTTTTTACACTTGGTGGTGCAGCTGTATCTTGAAAATCCTTTAAGCAAATGTATATTGTCAGATCCACAATGAAATTTGAATTTATTATTTTAGATAAAGTAGGAGAGGAAGCTGAATGGTTTCGCCAATTTCTAGAGGATATTTCAATATGGCCTAAACCTGTGCCAGCAATTTGTATACATTGTGATAGTCAATCTGCAATTGGTAGGGCATATAATGACTTGTATAATGGTAAGTTTAGACATATACGTCATAGACATAATACTGGTACACAATTGCTCTCAAATGAGATTATTTCTATTGATTATATAAAATCAAAGGATAATCTAGCAGATTCGCTTACTAAAGGTTTAACGAGAGAGCAAGTAAATTGCACATCGAGGGAAATGAGATTAAAGCCTATGACACAAGAGTCACATTAATGGCAACCCAACCTAGTTGACTGGAGATCCTAAGATCTAGGTTCAAATGGACAACCAAATTATGTGTGATTCAAAAGAAGTACTAAGGAGATAATCTCTCCTACCTATTCCTATGATAAACTAGTGCTGCCTGTAGAGTTTATTAGGGTAAGCTATGTTTTTAATGACTTTTATACTTTGATAAATTCAAGTGGGATATTGCAGGATATTTATAATAGGAGTCACCTATATGGGTGTGAAGGAGTCGCTTCTATGAGAATTTATAAAAGCTGAATTCTCTAAAGTATTCATGAAAATCAGGAGTTGTTTAGAGCCAAAATGAACACAATCATGGAACCAATTGTTTCAGGAAAAAAACTGTGTGAAGTTCATTCGATCTAATTTATCAAATAGCTGAATAGTTCAAGATATCATGTTCACTATTTAGCTGATAAGTCTGATGGGCTTTCACTAGGGAAGGTTCAAGGCCAACAGTTACCTATCTCGATACACGATCTTTTCAAAAATATACTCTCTATAGTGTGTCAGGATTATCATTTGCATACTAACAACCAATTTTCCATTCATGTGAGGGATTGTTGGACCAAAACAATTTTTTAAGTATAAAAATTGAATTTTGGTCAATTTTGAGCCTAAATTAAAGTGAGACCCGATTATTATTTTGAATAAAATTTTGTGGGTTCATATTCTACTCCGTGAGGAGAATAATGTAGTATATTCACTTGATCAAATCGAGTAAGAAATGAATGAGAAAATAGGCTCCAAATTGACCTTCTTGAAATGTAAAAATAAAAGAAGTGTAATGTGAGATGTGACACCAATACCACATTAGTTGAGGAAAAAATTCAACATGAGCATATATAGGCCAAGTTTGTTTTATGGGATTGAGCCCCAAGGGGTACCACAATTTTATGAGCGGAGCGAGCACTTACATGTCTTCGGTTCAACTGCACACGCGCGCGCGCGCCTCCCGCTCGCCTCGCCTCACCTCATCTCACCACGACCACGACCACGACCTGAGCGAGGCTCGGATACGGATGTGGTTTAGACCAAGCCCTATCTTTTTAGAAAAAAAATTATTTAATTAATTGGGCTAGAATTTTTTAATCCGAAATAAATTTGTCGGTACCCGTTGGATCGCACTAGTTCGAATTTATTTAAAAAGTACATTCATTCAGTCCGTTTTTAACAATAAGGCAAACATTAGAACATATCATTTTCGGCATTAAGTCAGTGCATTTAGAGAGTACACAACACGATTTTGGTTTACTGGACGAGCAGATTGGAGTGCTACTTCTGTTCGTGCAAAGATCACTGTATTCTGAGAGGTAGACGCTCAATATTCCATAAGCACCGTGTGTGGGGGCAAAATCTATCTTAAGGACATAGTGTCAAATACTAGCCTTGATCTACCTAAAGTTTAATAACAGCTCATGTTCTTCAATCGAGTTGATATTTATATTGTTTAAATAAACAGTTACGTGTATCTATTTGTTGTTACTGTTTCGTTTCCCAGCTATAACTCTTTCATTTCTGTGTAACTCTTTACTATAACTGTTTTGTTATACTTTACATGGTTCAAATCATAAATTCTAATAAACGATTTTGAAATATTTTGCACACCACAGTCAACAGTTTTTCCCATAGATTTGGTGCTTTTGGATTTTATTCTTTCTTGTTTTACTGATTCAACAAAAAAATTTGTTGTTGGATTTGATTCTTTTTTTTTTTCGGTGCATTTGGATTTGATTCTTTGTTGCCAAGCCTTGAGTACTTTCATTTGAGTAGGATTATTCCATGGATCAATAGGTTATGATTTTCCTGTTCATTGCCTTATGATTGCATGATTTTATTGTTAATAAAGTAATTGATGCACCATGAAAATTTTTTCATCAAACACTCATTATTTTTTTTGTTTATTGTCATGGGATATCTGGGTTTTTTAGGATTCTTTTTTAATCTATGGGTGAATCTGTTTGTGTAGTGATGATACCATTGTGTGCTTGTAGATGGCGTATACCAATGTGACCAATGATAACGTGGTTGAGGTTCAATCTACTAAATCTGATCGACCGTGCTTACTTGTAATAAGACCATGAAGATTGCTTACGATGGTCCTTAGATCATGAGGATTGCTTCATATAGTTGGATCAATACGACCAGCAAGAGAAGAGCCACTATTTGATGGTTGCGTGTTGTGATTATAATGTGGTCTCTATGTTGTGCATTATTTTTGTTACTCTTTGTAATATTTCTTGGGAATTTGCTCAAGTAATGGGTATTAGTATTTGACAGACTATAAAATATAAGGCTAATATGTTTAGTTAAGTCAAAATTGAGTTTTGTGGCCTTTCTATTTTCATATCCTCAACTTCTCTCTAGGTATAGAGTTCACGTTTTTGACGTATTTTTTTTCACAACAAAAAATGCAACCAAACAAATTTTTTATCAAAAGAAAACTAAAACTATTTTTATTTTTAATTTTTTTGAAAATTGAAAACCACAAACATTTTCAAACGAGCCCTTAATAAAAGATTAAAATTTATTTTCGACAGTTCATGTGGTACAAATTGTAAATTAAAATTTTTTGAGTTTGAATTTTAATAATTTCTTAGAGTCAGACCAAGAGAGATTTGTCTTTCATGAATTTCTTAGTACCGCGCATGAATGACCTGTCTTTGACAAAAAAAAAAAAACACTCACCCCTTGCATGACAAGTTAAAGTGTGTATGGGGTTTTAAGTATGGTTCTATTAAAGTAAAATATAAAAATAAGTGAAAATGATTTTTTGTCAAAGGTAACAAGGTAAAAGTGCAATTTTCGTCACATCTGTTATACTCAAAAATTGACGAGAAATGTCAGTAATATTTCAAAAACAAGTATTGCTATAAAGATCTAATCAGAAATCTAATTCATTGAAATTAGTCAATTAATTGTGAATTTTAAATTTAGATAGAGTCTACTTTCAACTTAACAAATGTAATTGATTAAATCCCAAAATTAAGCTAAATAGTACTTTCCTTCAAAAATTTAGAGGATGTCTCTATAATTACACTAATCTACAAGGGGTGTTATTGCAATTTACCCTTCCGAATATGAATTTAGATGAGCTGAAGATACGAAATCCCGTCCGAATACGATTCATTATTGTTTAGTGGTTTTCTGTCTCAAAAAAGAAAAAGAAAAGTATTTATAGGAGCACGTGTCGTTCTCTTATTGTCTTTGCGTAAACTTTTAGGCGACAGTCATGTCAATTTAACTTCTCATCTCTACTTGTTCAGGAGAGCAGAGAGAGAGAGAGAGAGAGAGAGAGAGTAAAACTCTGTTCGTCAAAATTCTCATGATCATTCACTATCTTGAACGAATTCAAATTCAGAAACCCTAAATCAAGCTCTTCCTCAAAGACATACCAATTCCACAATCGACATGTAAGTATTGCATCACTTTTATTGATTCAAACCAATAATTTTTCTTAGATTTTAATCTCCTTTTTATACAACATAAATAATTACATAAAATATGGTTGAATTGTAATGATTTCTTTATGAAATTTTCGTTCAGGTCCCAAGAGGGAATCGCGATCGAAGCTATAAAACACGCTCTCAAGTCTCTGCGGAAGCGGCATTTGCTGGAAGAGGGAGCTCATACCCCTGCTTTCATCGCTCTTTCGAGACCGATTGCCTCTCAGGTTTCCCCTTTTCCCGCCTTTCTTCTCTATCTAATACACGGAATTTGTAATGAATATAGATTATTTGATGAGTAATTAACTTAAGTTTGCATTGTTAATGGTGAAAATAGTTTCTTGAATTGATAATTAATTGAAGTTGGCCGCAATTTATTGGGACGACCTATTTCTTTCTTATATATAACTAGGAATGCTGGCTCATGTGATGCCTGTGCAATACATAGTCGCTAATAATATGACTGTTTTTAGCATTTTTTGAAGTCATCAACAAATTCTCTTTTGCTTTAAGATGTGGATAAGAGAGAAAAGTAGAAGACCTAGTTAAGATGGGAATTAAATGTGTATTTGTGGAGAAGAGTTCTAATTGGTTGTCGAGAGAGGGTGACGATAAGAGAGAAACCACTTGTCTCCCTAAATTTGATGTTTTTGGTCTTGTCTGAAAATGTTGTGAATCGTGTTATGGACACCCACTTCCTATTAAATTGCTATATATTTATTACATCAAAGTGAGGAGCAATACTGGAGCACGCAAGGGATACACAATGCTATGCAAAACCTGTCATAGTAGATACAAGAGAAGGCATTAGTGAGATTTGAACCTAGCATCTATGGGCAAGGCGGGAAAGGCATCCACCACTATGCCAATTCTTCTGCTCAATGTTATACAAAACCTGCCAACACTAATCTCAACGCTATGCAACAATTGGTTGGGCTTTAGCATGAATATATTCTTCAAGTAACCAAACCATTAAACCCCCTGTAGGTAAGAATCTGTAAATTATTAGGGAAAAACTAAACACAACATAATGGTCTTCTTCTACTACTGGGAAGACTATGTCTATGCTCATATTTGGTAACCCAATAAACTCTGCCACAACTATGCCTATGTTCATGTCAAAGTGCTCAAATCAAGTGACCCTCGTTTCCATATACTTAGTTGATCTCAAGCTGATTAAGAACCTATTGGTATTTGATGTTATTTTGCTACTCGGCAGATTGAGCATGGTTTCTCATTGCCTATCTTGTTTCATTAGGTATTTTTGACCTGGATGTTTAAGAGTTGTCCTGAGCGTTAATTAATATCGATTAAAGATTTCACATAATTAGAAAGCTATTAAGGTGATCAACTTCTTGCTATGTTTCTAAACAGTTTGACTTTGTGTATTTGGAAATATTTACTCTGCAAGGAATGCACTTGATGCTGCTGCATTTTAAATAATGTTCTATGTGTTGGTTTTGTATATACTTATCTTTGGTAATTCCTTTGTGTTTTAGTAATTCTGAATATTATGATTGAGTTGGTAGATATATGTTGTTGAAGGGCTCAGAATGGAAAGAGAAGGCAGAAAATCTTGAACTGGAACTTCAACAATGTTACAAAGCTCAAGCTCGATTATCCGAGCAGCTTGTGGTGGAAGTGGCTGAGTCCAGAACTTCCAAAGGTTTAATTCAAGAGAAAGAAGCCACAATCACTAATCTGCAGAATGAGCTCACTCATGAAAGGTCCTTTTTTCTTTTTTCCCTCCTTTACATGTGTTTTTTGCTGTAGATAGTATAGGTTATTGAAAACTAAAAGTGTTGCTTGAATGATTGCAACTTTGTTAATGCTACAGGGATGAATGTTTTCGCTTAACTGCGCTTTTAGAAGAAAAGACTAAAGCTTTAGATTTGGTCATAAGTGAGAATCAGGAAATTAAAACCCAACTTGAAGAGATGACTATGAAAGCTAACAATGCTGAGGCTGAAAATAAGATGTTAATTGACCGTTGGATGTTGCAAAAAATGCAGGAAGCTGAAGGCCTTAATGAGGTACTCTAATTTTTTTATTGCTATAGTTTTTGTTTTAAATTTTCAAGTAGTATGGCTTTGATATTGATATGCAAAGTTATTCCTTGGTAATTGGTAGTGACTTGGTGATGCAACCCACTGGTATCAAGGATTAGTTGAATATTAACATTTTTTTGTTATTATTTCTGATGCGCAACCACATATCTCAGTAACAATATGTGTTTGCAGATATGAGTTGTATGGACTGTTGTCATTTTGTTAAACATTTTTGGCCAAATTTCTTCCCCTATCTTTCTCTCGGCCTCTGCCTCCTCCTTATTCTTTTGCCTAAATATACAAATAAAAATTATCTCACTTTTGTGGAGATTAAGTTAAGGGTTTTAAAATAGATAGGTTTTTGTTGACTTTTTGATGAAAAGTTTACTGCTTCTACTCTCAGTTAGATTGGTAGATTGTCCTGCTCTCATGGTTTTTTCTGAAACCATAAACTTTTTGGATTTATCGACTTTGAAAGGTAATCTAACGGGTTTGTAGATTGCCCTTCTTTTTGTCTAATTTAAAATTTGGGTTTCTTGAGGAGTTTTTGATAAGTAGATTTTCTTCTAGTCAGTGCATTAAGAAATTTTGAATCCCTTAATGGATGCGACTTGATGTAAGAGTTTTTTTTTTTAAACTCAAATTTTATCAAATTTGGATGTTATAGCTTCGGGATTTATGTTATATCAAGGTTTCATATTCCAAGTCTGATTGTTACAAGGCGGAAGAACTTAGAAATACATGATGAATTACTGTGATGGCTTCAATGTGAAAAAACTGAGACGGCTCATCTTGGAATAACTTGACTATCCACCCTATCATTCAAACTGATGGATCACTGAAGTTTAATTATATTCGACAGGTTATTACATTGAAATGTGGTAGAATCGTGTTCTTTTTGTTAGACCAAAACAGTTTTTTAAGTGTAAAAACTGAATTTTTGGTCTACTTTGAACCTAAATTAAAGTGGGACCCGTTCGTTTTTTCGAGTAAATTTTTGTGGGTTTATATTCTACTCTGTGAGGAGAATAATGTAGTATACTCACTTGCTCAAATCGAGTCAAATGAATGAAAAAATAAGTTCCAAAGTGATCCTTTTGAGATGTGAAAATAAAGGTTATGTAATGTGAGATTTGACACCAATCTCACATTAGTTGAAGAAGAAATTCAGCATGAGCATATATAGGCCAAGTTTGTTCTATGGGATTGGGCCCCAAGGGGTACCACAGTTTTATGAGCAAAGCGAGCGCTTACATGCCTTCGGTTCGATCACACGTGTGTGCGCGTGCGCCGCCTACCTCACCATGACCCTAGCCAAGTTTGGCTCGGGCTCGGTTACAGGTGTAGGTGTGGTTAGACCAAATCATATCTTTTTAGAGAAAATTTATTTAATTAATTGGACGTGAATTTCTTAACCGCACTTTGTTCGGATTTTGGGCTTCTCTCAAATTTGAAATTTTGAGTTCAGTCCGAAATTTTAAGTTGTGTCTGTTCATGGAGAACAACTACTCAAGGTGTCTTCTGGCTATTACATTTCAGCTTCTGGGTTGTGTCTTTTAGTATTTTGACTGTCCGAAAAGTCACCAAAGTGTCTATAAATACCCAGGTTCATTACCATTTTGTATCAATTCATTTGTTCAATCCATTTTCGGCATTAAGGCAAACATTAGTGCATTACAGTCTGCATATCGACATTAAGGCAGTGTCTTGGAGAGTACACAACACAAGTTCTGGTTCGTTGGACGAGTAAATTGGAGTGTTACTTCTGCTCTTGTAAAGATCATTGTATCTTGGGAGTCAGACGTTCGATATTCCATAAACATTGTGTATGGGGGTAAAATCTGTCTTAAGGGCATACTGTTAAACACTAGTCTTGATCTACATCAACTTCAATATTAGTTCCTGTTCTGCAACTGGATTAGTATTTATATTGGTTTGACAAACAGTTACGTGTAACTGTTTGTTGTTACTATTTCGTTAGTCTGCTGTAACTCTTTTGTATAACTTTTTTGTGTAAGACTGTTTTTGTGTAACTGTTCCTCACTTCACTGTTACTGCTTTGTTTTATTTTAGATTATATAATATCAGAAATTTCAATAAGTGATTTTACAATATTTGGAATATCACAAACAACAATCTTAAGATAGATTTTCGAATTTTTATAGTTGTTTGTTGTGTTTCTGATACATGTGTTAATTTTTAGATTGTTCTAAAATATTGCAAATTGTTAAAACTTATTTTGTTTACAATTTGTGATATTTTGAAGAGACTTGAAAATTTTGTGAAAAATTGTATGTTCTGTTTATGTGTTTAATTTAAATAGTTACACCAAACAGTGACTCTGTTTTATATAGTTACACTAAACAGTGACTCTGTTTTAAAAAATTACACCAAATAGTGATTCTAAGTTAAACAATTACACCAAACAATGACACCATACATAAACATTAAAACAGTAACTTCAAAACAGTGACAGTAAACAGTAACATAAATTGTCTCTGTTTTAATAACTTGCTTTGGAAAGTGTTACTGTTTTTCTATTTTTGAATAGTTTGTAATCTTTGTTGATCAGAAATAGTTACAAATGATAATAATGTTTCTGTTTCAACAAATCATGTTGTGTCTATGATGCCTATTTTTATTCCTACTCATGTTTCTCATGGGGAGAAATCTGAAAAGTTCAATGGAAACGATATCAAGAGATGACAACAGAAAATGTTATTTTATCTCACTACGTTGAATCTTACAAAGTTTCTTCGTGAGGATCCTCCTGTTTGTAGTGACAATGAGACCGACTGCTAAGTTGCTTCTGCGGTGGATGCATGGAAGCACTCTGATTTTCTGTCTAAAAACTATATCTTCAATGGATTGGATAACACATTATTTAATATGTATAGTCCAATCAAAACGGCTAGAGAACTATGCGAATCTTTGGATAAAAAGTACAAGACGGAGGATGCCAGAATGAAGAAATTTGTTGTGGGCAGATTCCTTGACTACAAAATAGTGGATTCCAAATCTATCATAAGTCAAGTTCAAGATCTTGAAGTGATCTTACATGAGATTCATGCCGAAGGGATGATGCTTAGTGAATCTTTCTATGTGGCTGTAATTATTGAGAAATTACCGCTAAATTAGAAGGATTTCAAAAATTATTTGAAGCACAAACGCAAATAAATAAAACTTGAAGACTTGATCGTAAGATTGAGGATTGAGGATTGAGGAGGACAATAGAGTTTATGAAAAGAAAATTGGCAATCGTTCTATGGAGTCAAAGGCATATGTGATTGAAGAGGGACATAAAACCAACAAGAAAAGGAAGTATGTTAGCTAACAAGAGGCCAAAGGTGGTGATTCCAAAAGGTTGAAAGGCAACTGTTTTGTATGCAATACACTGAGATATCGTGCAAAGGATTGTCAAAGCCGTAAAACACAAGTGAATCATAAGAGGAAGGCTGTCTAAGCCAATATAACTGAGGTAGAATTTTTTTTTGAAAATGTTTCTAACATGAGTTTTCTGCTGTAGTATTTGAAGTGAACTTGGTAGGAAATACCAAGGAATGGTGGGTGGACACCGCCACTAGACCCATATGTTCGGATAAGAAAATGTTTTCTTCATATGAAGTAATTAATAATGGAGAACAACGATTCATGAAAAATTCTTCTACTTTCAAAATTGAAGGTAAAGGAAATGTTATATTGAAGATGACTTTCGAAAAAGAACTTACTATCAATGTTGTGTTACATGTTTCAGAAATTTGAAAGAATCTTGTTTCTGGATTATTGTTGAGTAAGAAGGATTTTAGATTGGTTTATGAGTCCGATAAATTTGTACTTACCAAAAGTGGAATTTATGTGGACAAGGGATATATGAGCGATAGGTTCTTTAAGATGAATGTAATGACAATTGTATCTGATTTTAATAATAAGAATACAGCTTCTGCTTATATGCTTGAGTCTTCCAATGTATGACATGGTAGGTTAGGACATGTTAATTTTAATACTTTGCGTAAATTAATGAATTTAGAATTGTTGCCTTAATTCAATATTAATGCAAATCATAAATGTGAGGCATGTGTTGAATCAAAATTAACTAGAGCATCATTTCATAATATTAAGAGAAGTATTGAACTTCTAGAGTTAATTTATAGTGATACATGTGATTTGAAATATATTCAAACCAGAGGTGGGAAGAAATATTTTGTTACTTTTATTGAAGATTGCACAAGATATTGCTATGTATATTTGTTAAGGAGTAAAAAATGAAGTATTAGAAAAATTTATGCATTATAAGAATGAGGTTGAAAATCAACTTAGCAAAAAGAATAAGGTAATAAGAAGTGATCGAAGTGGTGAATATGACGCACCTTTCGATAGGTTTTATCGAGAACATCGTATTATTCATCAAATTTCTGTGCCTTATACACCTCAGTAAAATGGAATTACTGAACGTAAAAATAGAATATTGAAAGATATGATGAATGTCATGTTGATTTGTTCCAGATACTTCATAACTTGTGCGGGGAAGCTTTGCTTTCACCAAATTTTATTTTAAATAGACTATCCCACAAGAAGTTAGATAAAACCCCTTATGAATTATGAAAAGGTTGGAGTCCTTCCTACAAATATTTAAAAGTGTGGGGGTATTTGGCTAAGGTGATTGTTCCCATTCCCAAAAGAATTAAAGCAGGACCTAAGACTATTGATTGTATATTTATTGGTTATGCAATAAATAGCAATACATATCATTTTCTCGTGCATAAATATGATATTCTTGATATACATGTCAATATAATCATTGAGTCAAGAAATGCATCATTTTTTAAAAATTTCTTTCATAGTAAAAATGCATGTAATGACAGTTCTCTTAAAAGAACTCATGATACGAAGACTAGTAATATAGACCATGAGTCTATAAATGAAGAAAGTGAAAAGGCACTTAGACGCAGTAAGAGGGTAAGGACTTTCAAGTCCTATGATCTAGATTTTCTAACATATTTGTTAGAAAATGAGTCTCAAAGTTTCAATGAAGCGACGTCCACTCCTGAAGCACCTATGTGGAAAAAAGTTGTAAACAATGAAATTGAATCCATCATGCAAAATCACACTTGAGAGTTGGTAAATTTTCCTCCAGGGAGTAAATCATTGGGGTGTAAATGGATTTTCAAGGAAAAAATGAAAAGTGATGGATCAATTGATAAGTACAAGGCTAGATTTGTAACTAAAGGTTACAAACAGAAGGAAGGTCTTGATTACTTTGATACATATTCTCTCGTTACGAGAATAATATCTATTCGTATGCCCATAGCTATTATAGCATTGCATAATCTTGAGATACATCAAATGGATGTGAAAACAGTTTTCTTAAATAGTGATTTAAATGAGAAAATTTTTATGGACCAACCCGAAGGGTTCGTTTCTCTAGGACAAGAGAAAAAAGTGTGTAGGCTTGTTAAATCATTTTATGGTTTAAAGGAAGCACCAAAACAATGACATGAAAAATTTGATAAGGTAATGATGTCAAATGGTTTTACAATTAATGAATGTGATAAATGTGTCTATGTCAAAAACACAAATAATGAATATATAATTATTTGCCTATATGTGGATGATATGCTTATTTTAGGTAGTAATAATAATATTATTACAGTTACCAAAAAAATGTTGTCCAGTAAGTTTGACATGAAAGATTTGGGTGTTGTAGATGTTATATTAGGAATTAAAATTTCTAAAACATCTAGTGGACTTATATTATCTTATTGAGAAAATATTTGAGAAGTTCGACTAAGATAAAAACAGCTTTGTTAGAACACCAGTTAATATAAATCTTTGTTTGTTTAAAAATACTGGCCAAAGCATATCACAATTGGAATACTCTTGTATCATTGGCAGTCTAATGTATGTCATGAACTGCACTAGACCGGATATAGTTTACTTAGTAAATTGAGTAGATATACAAGTAATCCGGGAGTAAACTATTGGAAGACAATTATCAGGGTTCTTAGATACTTAAGATATACCCTGAATTATGGATTGCACTATACAAGATATTCAGCTGTATTTGAAGGGTATAGTGATGCAAATTGGATATCTAATATGAAGGATACAAAATTTATAAGTGTTTATGTTTTTACACTTGGTGGTGTAACTGTATCTTGGAAGTCATCTAAACAAACGTGTATTGCCAGATCCACAATGAAATTTGAATTTATTGCTTTAGATAAAGCAGGAGAGGAAATTGAGTGGTTTCGCCAATTTCTAGAGGATATTCTAATATGGCCTAAACCTGTGCCAATAATTTGTATACATTGCGATAGCCAATTTGCAATTGGTAGGGCACAGAGTGACATGTATAATGGTAAGTCTAGACATATATGACGTAGACATATATGACGTAGACATAATATCGTTAGGCAATTGCTCTCAAATATGATTATTTCTATTAATTATATAAATCAAAGGATAATCTAGCGGATCTACTTACTAAATGTTTGTGAGAGAGCAAGTAAATTGTACATCGAGGGGAATGAGATTAAAATCTATGACACAAGAGTCACCTTAATGGCAACCCAACCTAGTTTACTGGAGATCCCAAGATCTAGGTTCAAAGGGACAACCAAATTATGCGTGATTCAAAAGAAGCATTAAGGAGATAATCTCTCCTACCTATTCCTATGATAAACTAGTGTTGCCTGCAAATTTATTAAGGTAAGTTATGCTTTTAATGACTCTTATATCTTGGTAAATTGACTAAATTCAAGTGGGATATTACAGGATATTCCTAATAGGAGTCACCTATATGAGTGTGAAGGGTCCGTTTCTATGAGAATTTTTAAAGGCTGAATTCTCTAAAACACTCATGAAAATTAGGAGTTGTTCAGGATTAAAATGAATACAATCATGAGAATCAATTGTGTTAGGAAAGAGAATGTGTGAAGTCTATTCGATATGATTTATCAAACAGCGGGATAGTTCAAGTCAGTACATTCACTACTTAGTTTTGTAAGTCCGATGGGCTTTCACTAAGGAAGGTTCAAGGTCAAAAGCTACCTATCTTGATGCACGATCTTTTTAAAGATGTACTCTTTATAGTGTGTCAGCATTATCATTTGTATACTAATAGCTAATTTTTCATTCATGTGGGGGATTGTTAGACCAAAACAGTTTTTTAAAGTGTAAAAATTGAATTTTTGGTTAACTTTGAGCCTAAATTAAAGTGAGACTCGTTCGTTGTTTCGAGTAAACTTTTGTGGGTTTATATTCTACTCCGTGAGGAGAATAACGTAGTATATTCACTTGCTCAAATCGAGTAAGAAATGAATGAGAAAATAGGCTCCAAAGTGACCTTCTTGAAATGTGAAAATAAAGGTTATGCAATTGAGGAAGAAATTCAACATGAGTATATATATAGGCCAAATTTGCTTTATGGGATTGGGTTCCAAGGGGTACCACAGTTTTATGAGCGGAGCGAGCTCCTACATGCCTTCGGTTCGATCATACACGCGTGCCCCTGCCGCCTGCCTTGCCACCAACTGACCCGGCCAAGCCGGGCTCGAGTATGGGTGTGGGTGTGGTTATACCAAGCTCTATCTTTTTTGAGAAAATTTGTTTAATTAATTGGGCGTGAATTTCTTAACCAAAAATTTATTTAATTAATTGGGCTTCTCTCGAATCCGAAATTTTGAGTTAAGTCCAAAATTTTAAGTTGTGTCTGTTCTTGGAGAACAGTTACTCAAGGTGTCTTTTGGTTGTTGCATTTCATCTTCTAGGTTGTCTTTTAGTATGGTGACTGTCCGAAAAGTCACCAAAGTGTCTATAAATACCCAGACTTATTACCATTTTGCATCAATTCATTTGTTCAGTCCATTTTCGGCATTAAGGCAAACATTAGTGCATTACAGTCTACATATCGGCATTAAGGCAGTGTCTTGGAGAGTACACAACGCAAGTTTTGGTTCGTGGGACAAGTAGACTGGAGTGTTACTTCTGCTTGTGTAAAGATCATTGTATCTTGAGAGGCTGACCCTCGATATTCTATAAGCATCGTGTGTAGGGGCGAAATCTGTATTAAGAACATAATGTCAAATACTGGCCTTGATCTACATCAACTTCAATAACAGTTCTTGTTCTACAACCGGATTAGTATTTATATTGGTTTGACAAACAGTTACGTGTAACTGTTTGCCGTTACTATTTCGTTAGACTGCTGTAACTCTTTTGTGTAACTTTTTCGTGTAAAACTGTTTCTGTGTAACTGTTCCGCACTTCACTGTTGTTGCTTTGTTTTATTTTAAGTTACATAATATTAGAAATTTTAATAAGTGATTTTACAATGTTTGGAATACCGCAAAAAACACTTTTTTCTTCCATTCCCCCCTTCCCTTCTTTTTCTGTGATCGAATCTCTACAGTCTGCAAAAGGGTGCAAATTACCCGCACTGTTCTACATGACTGTTCATTTGGTGTGAGAATTCTAGTCTGCTATTTCTTCTGTTTATGTTGGTCTGCCTCATGATGCTATGATCGTGTTGGCATCTAATATTTTGGTGCAACTTTGATGATATTCTTCGTTTTTTTATTTTTTTATTTCCATTTCCATTTTTATTTTTCAAACACTTTAGCAATAAAATATTACAGTATCTTGCTGAGATGAATGACCATGCCTTTACTTGTATTTAGAGGGTGAGAGGGTGGTGTTTAGCCACCTGGAGGAATCTTCAAATTTATGCTTACGATTCTTTTCTTCCAAGGGCCCATCCTTGTATTCGTTGTTATGGTTATTTAATTTTGAAAAAGTCCGGTGGTTTTATCTTCTAGCCATCATATCCTGAGCTAGATTTTCATCTAAGTACAAATACTTTCTCATATTAGGCAAATGCGCTTTTTGGGGATATGCTTGATCAGCTCAAGGCCAGCAGTATAGAACAACTTGCCCGACAACAAGTAGATGGTGTGGTACGTCAAAGTGAGGAAGGTGCTGAGTACTATGCTGAGTCAACTATTCCTACTGCATACAAGCACAAGATCCCTGCCCATGAAGGTGGCTGTGCTTCTATATTGTTTGAGTACAATTCTGACAAATTGTTCAGTGGTGGGCAGGACCGGACCATCAAAATTTGGGATACATACACTGGGTCAATAAGTCGCACTCTTTATGGTTGTCTGGGGTCTGTTCTTGATCTTGCGATTACCCATGACAACAGATCTGTCATTGCAGCAAGTAGTTCAAATAACTTGTATGTGTGGGATGTAAACTCAGGTCGAATCCGTCATACTCTAACTGGTCATATTGATAAGGTGTGTGCAGTAGATGTGAGCAAATTTTCAAGTCGCCATGTTGTGAGTTCAGCTTATGATCGTACTATAAAAGTTTGGGATCTGCAAAAAGGTTACTGCACCAACACAATTATTTTTCCAAGCAACTGCAATGCTCTTTGTTTTAGCATAGATGGACAGATCATTTGTTCAGGTCATGTTGATGGTAATCTTCGACTATGGGATATTCAGACCGGAAAGCTACTCAGTGAAGTTGCTGCACATTCACGTGCTATTACGTCAATATCTCTGTCTCGAAATGGAAATATGATATTGACGAGTGGGAGGGACAACTTGCATAATTTATTTGACATGCGTAGTCTGGAAGTTTGTGGCACTTTGAGGGCGAATGGGAACACAGTGGCATCCAATTGGAGCCGATCTTGTATCAGTCCAGATGACAATCATGTTGCTGCTGGATCCATTGATGGATCTGTTCATATTTGGTCAATATCAAAAGCCAATATAGTGAGCACTTTGAGAGAGCACACAGCTCCTGTTCTATGTTGTTCATGGAGTGGTGTTGGAAAACCTCTAGCCACATCTGACAAGAATGGCATTATTTGTACATGGACATGAGGGATCTTGCTGTCAACATTATATGATAAAACATTAATTGGGGGTACTGCTACTCTTTTTCTATAGCTAATATTCTTTGAAGATAGACCATTGACAATCAAGCTACTGAAACGATTCTTGAGATTTGTAATATTGTTTACCACGAATACTTGCCCTGGTGAAGTTCTTTTCTCTGCCATCGATAAATGAAAAAGAAATCTTGGGGGTGGTTTTGGGTTTTGTTTCTTTGGTGACAACTGCTTATCAATCATTCTCATTTGATGCTTGTTCCAAGAAACTGTGACATTTCAAAGCAAGCAAAACTGGTGTCATCTATATTTAGTTTTCGTGGGGGACACTATCAGTTGTGTTATGACAATGTATTTGTAAAGTTCTCGTGATATTAGTTTTTTAATGTAAAGTTGTCTTGTTTTGGGATAGTGGAAATGCATTCATTATCATCTTATGTTTTGTGAAAGCTTTGAGTTATCTACCACTTCACAGCGTTGCGGCAAGGCTTTTTCTCTCTACTTTGTCCTTTTTCTCTGTGGATTTTTCTAGGGCTTTGTGTTGTTGACTCTGGTAGATATGCATCCATGATGGTTATGAGGTGGAATTAGTGTTTCATGCTCATCTTTCAGAGTTAGGGTTTTGTTGGTTAGAAATGACGACCGCAAGCCTGTTTGACTTATTGGGCAATGATGATAACAAGGTCCTGACACATCTTATCACTGCTCAGAAGCAGAAGATTGTGCCGAAGAAGGCGCCAGCTCCTGAGGATCAACCACCTTAGCAACAGCAGCTGCCCAAGCTGGAAACTAAGTTACCTTTCCAACCTGTTTCTCCTGCTGAGGATGTCAGGGAGGCAAAAGATGAAGCTGCGTGTGGTGGAGGCTGTAGTGGTGGACATGTGGTCTTGGAGGTGGAATCAATAGAGACATGGCAAACAATTAGAATTTATATGGAAACACTAGATTCAATCAAGGTGTCCCTGAAGAGGCAGATACCGGGAAACATTCCAAAAGGCATGGTCTGGTATTTTCTATGGTAGTTGTCATGGTTGTTTTTGTAATGGAGAAGGAGGGGGTGGGGAAGTAGGGTATTTGAATGCTACAGTGGACCTGGTCTGAAAAATGAGGTGAAAGTGATGTAGCTGGTCATGGGAACTGGGGAACTCAGACTGATGAACTAGCGCAGGTGATTGAGGATGTTGTCAATGAAGGTGAGAAAAAATTGGGTGCTAAGAAGCCCTTGTCTGAGTAAGATGCAACTGATGGCAACAAGGAGAATCCTGTGAATCAACCTGATCAAAAGGAACCTGAGAGGAATCTTGAGTATGAGAAGGTGTTCAAAGAGAAGCGGAAGCTCTTCTGGCTCTTAGAACCGAGGAAAGGAAAGTTGATGTCAAGAAGTTTGAATAGATGCGGCAACTTGTAAACAAGAACAATGAGGATCAAAATTGGGTGCCAGCAAGGGTATGTGAAAAGAGTTAGACGAGAAGAAAGAGAGAGCCAAGAAGTCTGTTATCATCAATGAGTTCTTGAAGCCCACGGAAGACGAGAGGTACTACAATTATGTGGTCTTGGGTGAAGGCGTGGACTTGGTGGCAGAGGAGGTTACAAAGGCAGCGGCAGAATGAGCAATGTGGAAGCCCCTGCAATTGAAGATCCTTTGGCAGTTCCCAAACTTAGGTGCCAAGTGAGATTCTCTCTTTCCCTGCCATCTTTCCTTGTTTGGGTTCTTCCAATCTCCAATTCTGAGGGGAACAGATATTATTTTCTTATTTATTTTGTTATTGTCTAATTGCCAGTGCATATTAGATGACCTAAGATCATTTTGTCTCGTGTTTCTCGTTGTCCACAATTTCTTTTGAAGAGTAGAAATTTACAACCTGATCCTAAGTAATAGTTGATGACATGCTGTAATGCTCCTCGGTAGATATTTTATGTCTGGTTGAGGGCCTGGAGACTCGTGTAGATAACAACATCAAGGGTGCTGCATGGCATTGGGTATTGGTTTAATAAAATGAATATGTTCTGTAAGAAATGAAAACTTGTGTAAAACACATTTATATGGGATGAAGGATTAAACAGTTAGACCATCGTTTGATGGCATATCAATATGGGTTGTTATGGACTTCAACTAGCTAGTATGCTCTAGTGTTCACGTTCTGAACTGCTACAATCTTTAGGCTTAGTGTATCTGATAAATGTTGGTTGAACCAGTTAGCGTGAATTGGCATTGTAAAACAATAGGCTTAAATTAACTTCTGCCTTTGACAGCCATTTGTGATTTCAGTTATATTTAACATGCTTTTGACATGGTTTCACCACAACCTTGGATATTTTGTCTCATAAAATATGGTTGAACCTCAATCTGCATGGATGTCTGATGATGCACTGAAGCAAATATCTAATCATAGATTGTCAAGGATGTCCATTTTCTTCTGAAGGTTATATTGATTCTTTTCTGACGCATAATAAGGTATGTTCTTGATTTGGTAATAACCTCTTAAGATTGATTGACATCAATACCAATTGCTGCCTTTGGTAATATGACATGTATCAATGTACTATAGTTCTAGTAAGTTAATAGTATATGGGTTTTATTTATATGGCACTCTGATTTTGTAATTCTTTGTATTGTTTGCCCTTATAAGGACCTTGATATTGTTCATTGTTGAGTTTATTGTCTTAAATTTTATGCACTCATTTAACTTGTTAACTATTGCTGAAGGTGTGGCCTCTCTTCTATTGTCCTTCCACCATCTCATTTTGTAGGATTACAGATTCTGGAGCTTTGATTTCTTTGTGAGTTTCTATCTCACATGGTCTACATGTCGATTTTCATCTGGAATTCAGCTTCCAGATCTACTGCAATTGTGGTAAATACAGTTGGCTTTTTTGGTGATATGTAACATATATTCATAATTTTGGGTATCTAAAAATGCAATGGATCTTCTACATTTATCACTTACATATATATTGGTGATTGAAAATATTACTGCTTCTTTACATAGGTCATGAAACATTTGATCCGTCATAAGCCTTGTTTTATTTGCGTGGTGTTCATTGACCATCCATCCATTTTGAGAGAGCAGAAGGAAGATGAGGCATGGTTAAATACTATTCAGCTCTAAGCAAGACACATCAAGACAATAAGTATCTCTCCTGCCTTGCTGGGTCCTTCATTGAAAACCATCAACTTCATGACACTAATCCACCGGAGCTGCCACAAGGGAGGATCTTATCTGAGATAACATTCGCACTTCTTTGTACCGAAACCTCTACCTCTGTGAACGCATGTCAAGAACACCATTGATTAAATATACCTGAGCTCCGCTTACCTTCAATCGGGAGCTGGTGATGGAATACAGCATCGGAACACCTATGATCAAAACGTTCAGAGTTGCCAACACTGGGAGTGGTCTTTTCTGATTGTAGTGTCTCCCTTGCCAGCATTGCTACAAGCACAGCATTCCCATTTTTTATCCAAAAAATATCCAGTTACCGAAAAGTTAGTTGTGGATCTTCAGAGTGCTTTCCAATTCCTGTAAATCAGTGTTCCTGTTTCTGGTTGAATTGCTATTATTTCCAGGAGTACGTTGATGGTTCCTCCTCTGAGGGGATAATTTCTACAGACACCGACTCTATCAGACAATAGATCACGTGGAAAAACTGTCACAACCAACTTGCCTTTTGGCTGGGGTGACAACAATGATGATCAAGATGGCCGACCTTCTGGAGTCTACCGCTATGCACTGTCTCACCAGCTTACCGATTCTCAACTTTCGTATTCTGTGACCACCAGCAGCAGTGGCACCCACAGCTGGATTTACTTTGACTTATCTGCCACGACGTCCAGCCTGACAACACCATTGCTGCCCAATAACTATGGCTCATACCATTTGAGCCTGCATAAACTGGACATTGAAATGCCGGAATATAGTGAAGACGGTTTCACCATTGATAAAGGTACTGTTTCATATAATGTAAATTTTAATGCGAAGTGAGTGGTTTTGTCCATTCTGCTTTTCCGATTTGTCTCAGCTTTGGGAATTTTTTAAATCTTTCCACTAGTATACTAAGTAACAACTACCACCAAGGGGTTCAAGGGTGCAAAGTCGATATAACTAATTGGAGTTGATCTCTGATTTTATAATCGATCCACAAAATAGAATCATGCGACTAAAATGTAACAGGATATCCTGGATGCAGCAAGCAGGTAGTGCATTATCAAGCTGTTGGAGCTTAACAAATGAGACGTATTTTTTTTATAATAATTAGGACCAAGTAGAGACTCTTGTTATTGAGAGCCCTGATGTTTGACCTTATAAATTCATGGGCATTTGAAAGAGTTGCAGCTTCAATTATCTCTGCTTCCATTGCATTCTCTTTTGAATATGCAATATTTTTATGGATTGTTCCTGTGAAAAGAGTGGGCTCCTGATTGAGCAATGCAGTATGTGACCTTAGAGTTCTCAAATTGTACATTCTGATGTCAATCCCATCAACTTCCACCATCCCCGTAGATGGGTCATAGAATTGCTCAATCAATCTGATGATGGTGGATTTTCCGGACCCACTCTGACCTACTAAGGCCACAGCTTGTCAAACTTCAATCTTCAAGTTTAGGCCTTTCAAGATCTCCTGTTCTGGCATCGTTGGGTAGAAGAAGTCTACCTATTCGAGCTCTATATTTCCATTAATCATTTTTTGGATTAATACCATCTGGTTCATCTGGCTGCATTTTGCTTTTTCTTTCCAAGATTATAAAAACCAACTTTAATGCACCAATGCCTTTTTGATAGATCTGAAGTTGTGCTCTCTGCGTCTGCTATTATTCTTCTTGTTGACACTAAGATGATGAATATTTGGAAGAGCTTCACCATTGCTGAATAACTGCTATTTTTGTCTTGGAACGAGTTCTTTCATGAGAACCTGACTCTAATACTCGTCCGGATTGAATGACTGCAATCCTATCAGGCATTGCGGAGAGTAGAAAGACGATGTGCAATGATAATGGTTGTTCGTCCTACAGATGCTTCTGTACTAAGTGAAATGACAGGGTAAAACTGGAAAATATGAAGAAGCAAAGAGCACCAGTCTAATGTCAATGCAAGGTTTAGAGTTTACATTACTATTCCAGTATTTGATAACAATTGGAATTAAGTGCTAGAATATAATTAAAAATCTAAAAACATATTTGGATAATTCTTAGGCTCAGATCCATGACCTGACTCAGGCTTTGAACCTAAACCTGATCTAACCATGGGTCTAATTACGGACCTGCCCCTAGACTTGGACCCAAACCCAAACCCACGGCTCATACCTAGACTTGGGCCTGGACCACAAACTCGAAACCAGACCTGATCTAGAAACTGAAGCTCGGACCCAGCCTGACCTCGGACCCTAGACCATGGACTCAAACCCAATGCGACCCTGAACCTAAACCTAGACCCGATCCCAAGTAAAGGTAGGGTGAGGGTAAGTGTGGTGATAGACCAAATATTAAGAAATGACAAAATTCTACGCCGATAGAATTAGATATTCTATGGTAATGAGAATTAATTTTCGTTACTCCATACCAAATATTATAATGAGTATTACTACATAATTGGTATATCGACAGTCTTACACCAACTCTCCAACCTCAATCTTCCCAAATTTTCTTTGTTCCTATTACTCATTTTTGTGTTGAAACTTTTTATGCCATAGACCCTGGCGATTTCTTAAACCCAGTACCATAGTTGACCATAAAGTCCGGGAAAAGTCATGTAAAACGCAATACACAGTTTCGTCCGATCAATTGTTCCAACTTATCCTTATTAACACTTCCGCCATTACTGTCTATGCATGTCATAAGTCAACGGGCCGACGAGCAGTATATCAACGCTTAGCTACTGGAGCATTCTCTTGCCCGGCGGGGAATCAAAATTCCCCCCCCCCCCCCTCCTATCTTCTTTTTTCAAGGGTAAACAGGTGAACTGTCATGGTCCTATGGATGTATGCACTGGACTTCTCAAAAGCAACCATGCACCGGAGAGGATTTCAAACTCTCCTATCACAACTTGGCTAGAATATAGCGAGGGAGATGCATACAATTGAACAACTAACTCTGCATGG